TGAGATAAGGGCATGTCTCAAAGAATTCGGGAGGACGTGTTTGCGTAAAGAATTTCTGAGGGAGTCTGAGGAAAGTCTGCAGGGCGAGCGCTCAATGCCAAAGCTGCATTGTTGTAACATCAGTCATGGAGGGTAGTCAGAGAAATCCCACAGGTGGGTTAGTGGAGATGTCAGGGACAAGTTTCACACCACTGCTGGAATCACTCACATCATACAGGAACAAAACAGAGGGAATGCTCCCAACAGTGCAGGAGGTAAAAAAGGAAAGTGCCACTTGTTGTATGAGCTGATTGCTGGGCAGATATTTGCTTCTGATTTTTGCTGGTGATTCTTATCACACATTCACAAGTTCACCACTTAAAAGTCCATTGTGTAACATTTCTGAGTATCTATTGTCAGAAATGGAATATAATATTCATAGATATGTTTTAATTAGTGTTTAATGACCTGAAAATCATGATTGTTGTGTTTTCGTTACCTTAGAATGAGACGTTTTTATCTGCAGAGAGAGCGGGTCCTCTTCCATGAAGTCCACCATGTTGAACCGCCATGTCTCCAGACACTGACTGTAGTTATGGCTATTCGAGTTTTTCGCGTCCACCATCGTGTCTCTTACTCACTGTGTGTGAGCGAGGCACAGTGCCACTAAATCCTGGTCACTGGTCCTTTAATCAAACTTTTTATTTGTGTCTTTGTGTTTGACTTTCTTCTCTGTTGATATGAGACATCTTGGATGTGATAACCAAACATGTTTGACTGATCTTCTTGGTGTCGTGTCCAAACAACATTACGTGCAGACTTCCAGCGTAAAAACAGGAATTTGAGTGTTTTTTTGTTCTGCAGTTATTTGGGTTTAGATTCACCCGGGATGGATGGTCATTTTGATTTTGATTACAACAAAAACACAGTTTGTAACCATTTAAAATGTTTTTTTAATAAATGTGCCAAACTGGCTGATTTTACGTTTAACGACTCAAACACTTTGTATTTCATGGATCAGTGAGATGCAGCAGAAGGCAGTGAAGCATTCTAACACACAGCACAAGCAGAATGTGTCTGCGTTTGACCGATTAACCGTTTATGGGGCTTTCGAACAGTTCGGTTGGAGAAAAGTTTTTCCTGTAAAGTTTTGCATGAAATCTGGTGTTTTTTTATCATGGATGAGTAGGTTTTCTCTGTATTGTTGTTGTTTGGCACACACATCTGCAGTTACTCAACCACAGAAAAATACAGCAAAAACAAGGAAATGTGGGCATGATAAACAAATTATGTGTCTTGTTTTCATGTGAATTCAATCGTGATTCATCAGTGGCTATCACACAGTGCTTCATATGATCAGTTTAGAAACATGTGGAGGATCTGAAAGCTATTTTCTGGTTTTAGTTTTTTAGCACTTGTTTTAAAGCTGCCTAAAGAAACCATGATTGGAGCATGTTGCTGCTGTTGGGTGTTGCTCTCTGATCTGACTCCATGTTCCTGTGTGTACCTCTTTTTTTTCACCTGGCAGGAAGTGCACCTGATTGGTTTAGTTAGCAGAAGAATCCCAAAAACTCTTAGTTGAAGCAGAAAGGGAGGAGGCTGCAGGAGGTTCATGTCAGGGCTGTTGTAGACCTCTCACCTGCTGCTTGACTGTTGGAATGAACAGTTTTCTTGTCAAACTGCTTCCTTTTGTTACAGTGTGAACACCTCTATTATGATTGTATATATGGAGATGTATTTTTAAAGTAAAGATTTCAACAATTAATCAACTAAATTGGTTCTTATTCCTCTGATTTCCACCTCCATAAACCTTACTCCCTGCCTGTTCTATTTTTTATTCAAAAGTAATACACTTTATATGTTCATAGAATCTAAACAAAACAGAAATCAAGCAGATTTATCATCCAGAAAATTAAGAAATTACAACATTTGAATTTTAAGAATAAAATATTTCATTTTATTCATGTTGTTTTCTTGCAAATAATTAAATCCATGAGTTAGTTTCAGTTAATAGGTCAGTTCTTTAACCGTTCAACAATAATCTATTATAGTTGGAGAGTTAATACCTTTATCAAAAATCTTCCCAAAATTATTCATAAGAAGAATCATGATAAAAATTAGGATAATATATATGAACCATTTAAAAAATGATACATAAACAAATTAATACATAATTCAAACAGGTAGAATTTCACATAAATCCACCAAAGTTTCTTTGTTACATCAAATTTATTTTATATCTCTCTTTCTTTGAATGCTTAAAAGACACATGATGAAGAGCTGGATCATGTGGGATTAGAATAACATACTAGTCATCTTTTCATTTAATTGTATTTTATTTTATGAAGAGTTTTTCCTCCATGACAGTTGCTGACCTGTTGATGCAGGTGTGTTGTTTTTAGATAGTTTGAGGTGTTTTCTTTTCACATACCTCAAGAGATCCTATCTATTTAAACTAGTTTAGCCACAGTTTGAAAAAACAAAACTTGTTTTTTTTGAAAAGTAAACATTAACATGCATTCTTGTATCATTTTAGTTTCATTTTTAAGTTGATGGACATGTAGCCTAACAGGAAAGCCAGGCTCACATGATGATTGTTCTTTTAATATTTGGATTTTAACATTTATTATGTGTAAAATTATTCCATAAAAATGCTCTATTTGTCAATGATTTTTTGATAATAAAAACGAGATAAAAAAAAGAATGCCCCCTCTGTTTCTCAGTGCTTAGAGAGAACAGCCTGTGACGTGCCTGACAAGTTCATAGAAAATAGATGTTGCATGCTTCGTTTGAGAGACAGAGCTCTTTAACTTGTCCCCCTGTTTGTTCTGCTTCCAGACAAACACACTCAGACCTGAGCTGCTGTCATTTCACAACTGTTTCTGTTCTGATGACAGGAGACTGCCAAATTCCCCACCGACACTTGTCTCATGTGGGACATTTTTCTCAGCCTCAGGACGTTGCTGTGGGTTAAAGAAGTAGAAGATAAAAGAGACAGTGTCATCCTCGGCAGCCCCCCCCCCCCCCGGGGGTGTCGCCTGCTTCCCACCGGTCGTTGTAACGGTGATTTAAACTGTGAAAGGTGTGGTGGTGATGAGTCATTGGTCGATCCTCACTGCAAAAAGTGACCACCCTTAACTGTTTTATTCATGACTTTAAATACTGTTTTTAATACAATAAAAACAGGGGAAAATTCCTCAAGTTGATGTCATAATTCTGCTTGTTTTTAATGCGCTCATTTCGGACATTTTCTAGAACAATCTGTCTCTAAATCAAAAGCATGATGAAGGCAGATCCCTCCACTGCTCTCCAGAAAACAGCACCATTTGATAAGCTGCAAACAAGTGGACTTTTCCCATTCTCCCCGACTGTTTTTTTTTATTTTTTATTTGTAATAAAAGAAAATAATATTTAAAAACTCGAAACTGTATAAAATAATTTGATCCGACGGATATTTCTTGCAGTGTGCAGCGCAGGAACTTCACCAAACTTGTCAGACTTCAGTGTTTATTGACTGTCCCCCTCCTTGTCTACGGTTTGAATGTGTGCTGTCACGTCTTGTTAACGTTTTCTGACCTATAGGGTGTATTCCGATTTTATTCTGATATGGTAATTGAATGCTTCCGGGGACGAAGTGCGTTGGTGCTCCCTCTGATCTCTCAGAAGAGCCGCTGGCGTCACTGTTCCGCTGCAAGAGCTGCAGGGGAAAGAAACGTCTTGACAAGTGTTTCAGAACAGCAGTATGTCATGACAAGTTTTTTGATAAAGGGAGGATCTTTGTTGAAGGTTTTTTTTTTTTTTTAGAAAAGTGTGTTGGTTATATTTTCAGGCTTATTTTAAGATTTTTTTGGATGAAAAAAACTTCTTAAATCCGAATTTATTGTTTAAACAAGCTGGTGTTTAACTCACCTCGACTCAGTTTTTCTGCTCTTTTTTTTAAGGGAAGCAAGGTTTTAGGGTTGAGTTTATCCATATGGGCATTTTGCAGTGCTTGGGGGGGGGTGAACAGAGCTGCTGCATATACACAAAGTTTTTGAGTTATTCATTTATTGAATTACTCACTTTGCCTCTAACAAAGCCATGAGTGGCCGTTGCTGACATCAGCCTGTGGTGAAATGCAGGGGATGGTGGCTCTGACATGTGTAGGTGGCTATGACATAATTGCGCATCTCCTGGTGAGCTGGAGGCAGCTGATGGAGCTGGATGTGGAGGAGGATTTGGAGCACCGTGCAGCCTCTCCACCGCTAACCCCGTTCAGCTTCTTTTCATTCGGTTTGGCTTCTTTAAACCTCTAAACGTGGTCACTTTTATCTGAAATAGTAGTTATCTGAGTTCTGATAAATTCTAAATATATTCCCCCTTAATCTTAGCCTGCTGTGCTTCAGATTATTAAAATGATGGTTGAAAGTGAGTTCCCATTAAGAGAGGTTTAAACGTTTTGGTTCCTTCATGAAATCAAACATTTTAAATTTTAATAATTAATTTAAACCATTGAAGAGTTTAGAAATTGTTTTTTTTTTCAACAGGAAGGATTTGCCATTAAGGATGACATAATTTCGATTTTTTTCCCCCCCTTTTATTGAAAGCTTCATCAGGCTAATTTTCTTGAATTATGGGGGATTTTGTCGATATTTCATTCTGCCTGTCATCCTCTCTGCAGTATACACTGGAAGACTGGAGGAGGAGACACTTCAGTTTTTCTCCTCTTCTATTTTTTTTAATTTTTTTCCCTTTAACTCTGCATAAGAGTCTAAATTAAATTGGTCACTTTTCTGGCCAAACATGAATTCATTCAACTTCAAACCTACATGATGCCACTTGTCTTGTGCGTGTCAGATAGGCTGTTCAAGCAGCAGCGACATCCTTTAAGGGGCAAGACTGATTGCTTAAATGACCACAGCAGTGGAAGGAGGAGAGAGAGGGGGGAAGGAGAGAGAGAGAGAGAGAGAGGGGGAAGGTATATAGAATTCTGCCCAGTAACAATCGCACAGCCTCGGTCGAGCGCTGCGGAACTATTGGCTATGCAAATACACACAGGGAGGAGGAAACGACTTAGACTGGAAAAAAAAACTTTAAAGAGACATTTCCCCCACTTTTCTCACAAGCATTGCTATATAGCCAACAAGCCTCAGATGGAAATTAACAGCTCTAAAGCTCTGAGGACTTTACTGTCCCCAGTCTTCCCCTGACGCGCTCAAGTCTCGTTTCATTCAAGGCTCCGTCTTTGAAGTTGACTAAGAATAGGAGGGGGATTAACATATTTACCCATGCAGATTCTCTTTGTGACTGTATGTGAAGCTAAATCATTTGGCAGTCATTTTTTAATTATCTGCTCAATGACTTACACTCTCAGCTTCGTTTCCACCTGCTTGTTTTTCCATGTAAATTATTACAGAACCCTGATCCAAAAACGAAAAAAAGAAATAAAAAAAATAGTGATTTATAGCAGGAATTGTCAAGTTAGCTGACATTATTTGGGTTGAGCAAAGCCAATGACTGTCATCTGTGTGTTATCTTAAACAGAATAGCTACTGCTTCTCAAATTTCCTAGAAAGCTATCTCAACCACAAGCTGTTTGTGGCTGCAATAAAAAAAATAGTTCGTGAGACCATGTGTTTGTTTGTGCGTGTGTGTGTGTGTGTGGGCGTTCGTGTGTGTGTGTGTGTGTATTTGTGTGTCAGAGTGGGTGGTTGGTGAGTCTGTCCTGCGCGCGCACATGTTAGCATGAAGTGTTTATGTCCGCGTACATACAGTATCTACATGCGTCATGCTCTGCGCTGAGGTTCAATGGGGCCATTTGAAAAAGCTGCTGTAACAAGAAAGCAATAGTACCAATTAGTCGCCTTGTGGAGGGTTTTTTTCTTTCTAATCCAAACTAATATTCAAATTACTTTCACAAGGGGGCACTTGCTGCACTTTGGCAAGTAAAGTTGGTTTCTTGGAGGCTTTTTAATGCCGAAAATGTGCGTAATAATAATGGAACAAGGAATAAGGCGTTCATTCATTTATTTATATGATGTGAAGTGACAATATCATTAACCCCCCCACCCACTCTGTAATTATCACCATGAGGCAATCAAGCACCAAAATAAGGAAATGCATCTATAAAAACACATAAAAGCATTTATTTGACCTGATAGAGCCATGTTCTAATTGCACATTAATCAGTCACATACTTGAATATATTCATATCATTTATACAGTCGGTTTATTTCAGCCTCAAGTCGTCTGTAAATGCGACAAAAACAGGTTAAACTGCAGTTTAGATGTATTTTCTCTGCAGCTTCCACTGTATATTTGTGCATCTACATTTGAAAAAGTGTCAGCCTGTTCAGTTTTGAAATGAAACAAGTTTGCTCAAAGTTGTCTGCATGCCAGGCTAAAGGAAACAGGGACAGGAGTGCAGCATGTTGCGTCTGGTATATGCAGAATGAAGTGTATTGCGTCAGTGGCGCAGGGGAGGCTTGAAATGCGTCTGATAGCCAGGCGGATGAAAGTAGAGGCGCAGAGAGGGGAGAGAGGAAAAAGTTCTCAGTCAACGAGGAGAGGCAGGACTACTCTACGGAGCCCCTGCAGTCTCACTTTTTATGCCTCTTAAAGACTTTGCCTGCCATCCTTTTGCATTTTTTTGCTCTGCAACACCGCTTGTTCGTCTCCAAGAGAGAAATCCTACCTTTTTTACTTAAGTGAAAGCACCAGCACCATGGAACTGCTCTGCCTCGAAATGGACACCATCATACGAGCTCGTCCCGATCCGAACCTCCTGTGCGATGACAGAGTCCTGCAGAGCTTGTTGACCATAGAGGAGAGGTTTCTACCCCAATATTCTTATTTCAAAGGCGTCCAGAAAGATATTCAACCGTTTATGAGGAGGATGGTCGCTACTTGGATGTTGGAGGTATATACCGAAACACCGAGTGCTGACAAGTCTTATTATTTCCGTGCTCGACTTTAAAAGCCTCCTGATTTGTTTCATTATTGCTTTACTGAGCGCTGTTTGGCGTGTTGTGGACAGTAGATAAGACTTGTTGCTCTCATTTCCGACTGCTTATTGCTCATATTAACCAAATGTGTCGTTGTCTGTAATTTTCTTACCATTTTTAAAGTCCGCTCATGAAGGCTGTGTTTATGAAACTTCGAGCTGTGATATCAGCGACACCGGAGAATTTCTTTTATGTGCCTCACATGTTGTCTGTGCAAGCTGCCCGTTGGGTCTTTATTGTTATTATTTTAGATAGCCTGAATATTTCCATGCACACGTATGCACTCCCCAATGCAATGCTGCCTTTGCACTGTTGTATCGCCATGTTGGTTTTTTAACAGGAGCGCTTGTGCTTTTAAGAGGACTTTACAGTGTCATAAACGCAATAACAGCGGTTTAAACCCATCGGCAATGACAGAGGAGGTTCTGGGGTGTCCGCTGAATATAGAAATGATCAGAAAAAGCGTTGCAAACATTTTAGGTATCTATTTTAAATGTCGGAAGGGGTGCGGGCCTTATCTGTCCTTCAGGTCTTCCCCCCGTCGCAATGCCTCACTCTGGAATTATGTTCGATTTTTGACACTTGGTCGAGTATTTCTGGTCAACGTCCATCTGTAAACAATCTCGAGCCTTTGGGCTTTATTTCCATGTAAATATTGTCAGGGTCCGACCCACTGGAGATTTTTAATTAATTTTTGAAATAAATATATCGGGTCGGCGGTGACGCACATCAGACCAACCTCTTGCTACTTGTCTTTTATTTTGACATTTTATTCATATTTATCGTGCGCGGATTTGGATACGAATTGTCGGGTATGATGTGGAAGACGTCCCTTCACATTATGATGCGAAGAAAATCGGTCTAGACAATTTATTTATATTTTTAATTATTTTATGAAAATATGACGAATGAGAAAAAAGTGTGTTTCCGTGTGCTTCGCTGTCGGGGTGTTTTTTGGCTCGGCTGATTGTGACTTGAATTCATTTCTTAGTGAATGAACTGCAGGAATGCGACTCTATTGACAGTATATGTCTGACACTTATTTCATTCTTTGAAGAATAATCTATTTCGAATTAATTTATGATGTCGCAACCGATTAGGGCTGGGCGCAAATTCTTGGCCGGGCCCCAACTATGTGTGTCATTGAATTTATATGTGCTTTTTTATGTGATTAGACTTTTGTTTCGTTATCTCATAAAAGTTTTATATACATTTCAAGTGCTGGAAAATAAGTCAGGTCACTGCAGGGTGGCTCACTGATTCCAAATGCTCAACATTGCTGCATTGTCTGCCCTCTCTTTATTCAGGTTTGTGAGGAGCAGAAGTGCGAAGAAGAAGTTTTCCCCTTGGCCATGAACTACTTAGACAGATTTTTAGCCGTGGTACCCACCAAAAAGTGTAACCTGCAGCTGCTGGGAGCAGTGTGCATGTTTCTTGCATCCAAATTGAAAGAGACTCGTCCATTAACCGCAGAGAAGCTTTGCATCTACACAGACAACTCCATCAGACCACAAGAACTGCTGGTAAGCAACAGTTGGTTCAACACTTTTCACAAAATTCACAGTGACACTTCTGAGGATTCATGCTGTCATCATCAGCTGGTTGAAGCCAATCAGAACTTCATGATATATTAATGTCTTTCTTTCTTCATTATGTCTGCTTTTGGGGAAAACCAGGGTTTTATTTTTGGTTTTAATGCATTTATTTCCTTGACATGTATTCATTTTAATCATTCAGCTCATAAACATCACACACTGAACACAGGGGCTGTTGCCATTCCACTCAAACTGTTGTCCAGCCTCCACTTTGCCTGCGCTGTCATCAAAGGTGCATGAAAAGCCTCACAGTGGACTGTTCCACAAGGGCTCTCCTTACTGTACATGACCCTCTGGGTTTTTACAGTATCCATCCAGTGTGTAGTGGTCTCCATCGCCATCTAGTGGCAGATATTTGCACAGAGCAACGAGGTCAGCTTGGACTCCAGCCAAACTTCTGACTCTGTTCCTGTCAGCTAGAGAGGGAGAGACACAGAGAAATTCAAGTTTGCCTTTTACAGTTCAGCTTCCATCCAAAAATAACCGTGGATGCACACATTTCTGATATTATGTCATGCTGCACTACTTCTGATTCTCACACATTCGTCAGTGCAGCAATGTGGCTCACGGTCCAAGTTACACATATAACCGATGATGCAGGGTACCATATGTGTCATTTGGAGTACAATAATGTCTTTCCTCTGTGTCCTATATTTGATAAGGCCTCTTTGGCCTGATAATACCAGCTGCCTTCACCAGCGCAAACCAATTAATTAACTCAGTTTCACATCAGATAAGTGTTTCCCCTCTGCTCTGTGGTGCTACATAAACATTCCTCAGTAAACAACAGCCAATCCCACCCATGTTGTGAAAGAGGCCACATATTATGATTCAGACGTGGCTGATGGTTGTAGGCCTGCCTCGCTGCCTCACTGATTGCTGCAGTATATTCAAGTTCCTGACGAGTTGCTGTTGGTTTTGTTGGTTTCTGATCATTTTCTGGAATGTATTTCTGCTTGGGAATATTGTGTCTGGTTTAATTTCCCCACTCCTCAGTGAGGGTTTCGATGGTCAGCTTTATTATAGCTGTAGGTTTGACAAGTAAAGAGAATGTGCATTTAAAGGAAATAGCGCTGCACTGTTAGCCTGGGGTGGACTCGTGTGAAACAGTATGCCATGTTGCATTTTTATTAGAAAACTGAGTCTGTCCTACCTTTATGTTCAATCTGAAGACAAAGCCCTCAAGTCCTTGAACTGGTTTGCTTGGGCCTCTTCTCAGTGTTTCTGTATATGGCAGTATTTTGGCTGACATGCAGATACAGGAAACAGAGATCAGCTGCTCAGGGCATGTGATCGTTTTTTGTCCTCGTCTTTGGTAAGAATTTCTTGTAAAGAGAACCACAATGTTACAAAGAAGGTGTGACCAGAGGAAGGCAGTAAAAGGAAGTGGTGCCTGCCTGCCACTCTGTCAGCATAGAGCCTGTGTCGCAAGATTTTTCATACCCCTCGCTGTAGGTTTAAATCTTTCTCGCTGGCACTGATGGAAAAGGCTTTTGAGAGCACGAGGCAGCCATGTTGCAAACATTAGACCAACCACTGCTGGGCATTATGATTTGCATATGATCAAATAATTGAATCTTTGAGATACCAGTTACACATCTCCAAGCAAGCAGAATAAGATGCCTTTCACCTTTTAAATCAGAGGTGCTTTCTCATTTCCTCCCACATGATAAACTGTGGCTATAAACAAACCCCCTCTTTTAAAAAAGCCTTTTCTTCCCTGTATCCGTGTCCCTGGCTTCAAGAAGATCAGAAACCATCACAAGGATGAAAAAGGTCACTTTGATTAGAATATTGTAGGCTGGTAGCAGGGTCGGTGGCAGCCATGTTGAATTGTCCCATGACCAGTTCATGTGGTCTCTCTCTCGCTCTCTTGAGAGGGAAAATGAAAAGCATCTATGGTCCTAGTCACAAGGCCGCAGTCCGGAACCAAACCACGAAATTTTTTCCCAAATTAGTCACCAACTCTTCCGTTAATCACCTCCTCCTCTAGGAAGTGAAAGTAACAATACACTCTAAGAGAAGAGAACACCACACCTAGTGTCCATCCCCCCCCCCCACACACCCACACACACCAAATGCACACACATTGCACACTCATTTTGCTCGTGTCATCACATTTTGCCAAAACGTCCATGATTTTAAAGTGAATTGACTCAAAGCTGTGCAACGCTGCCCAAGGTTTATGTTTCCTGTGAGCCAGAAAAATGTTGTAAATGATTTAAAATAAAGTCTTTAAAGGTCCAGTGTGTAACATTTAGGAGGCTCTATTGGCAGAAAATGTGATATAACATTCATAGGTATGTTTTGATTGGTGTATAATCACTTGAAAATAAGAATCATTGTGTTTTCATTACCTTAGAATGAGCTGTTGTTATCTACAGAGGGAGCGGGTCCTCTTCTACAGAGTCCGCCATGTTGAACCGCCATGTTTCTACAGTAGCCCAGAATGGACAAACCAAACACTGGCCGTAGATAGGATGTTTCTCCCACACGCTTGGTGGGCTGAACTGTATTCAAATGGCTGCTATCGCCAACTTCACCGCTAGATGCCACTAAATCCTACACGCTGGTCCTTTAACTATATTTGCCACATAACATTGTTTATGTGAAGAATAACAGGGCTAAAAGAGTGAATTTATTCTATGAAGTATGAAAGGGCTTTAACCGAGTTGGCAGTAAAACACAAGATGCAATAACCACATCACCTGCTGCAACGTACAGTGAAGGGTTCTGATGGTTTAAATGATGAGTGGAATGAGAAGATTAAATAATGAAACTCTTTCAACTTTTTAACATAAAACAGATTTATTGCTGAGCACTGCCCAACAAACACAGCCTTCCTATCCATTTTCACTGTACAATCAAACACACAAACACACAAACACACACACACACACACACACACACACACACACACACACACACACACACACACACACACACACACACACAGAACCTCTGGTGGGCCTCTTTAGGAAAGTCCCCAGATGCCAGACAGACAGAAGGGAGGGAGACAGTGTTGTGAGGTCACCTGGGTTGGTGGCGCTGCTGGTGTTTCTCTGTCCCAGGCCCGGCTGAGCAGAGACTAACATAATAACAATAATGCTTAACCTCCACGCACACTAATGTACAGGGTGGGCCAGGGGCCTACAGAGGCTCACTTTGGGCTACAGTGTAACTGACTGAACAACTGCTATAAAGTGTCGTGTTGTTGTTGAATGTAAACTGTGACAGTATATATATATATAAATATCGTTTTTGTCATCTTTCTCATTTTGTCTCGGTTATCTCTCTCTGTTGTCTACTCTCTGTCTCTCTCTGCCTCTCTCTCCAGGAATGGGAACTGGTGGTGTTGGGGAAGTTGAAGTGGAACTTGGCAGCAGTAACTCCGAACGACTTCATCGAGCACATTGTGAGGAGGCTGCCGCTGCCCGAAGATAAGCTGGCACTTATTCGCAAACATGTCCAGACCTTCATTGCCCTGTGTGCCACAGGTAGGACACAATGGGAGCTTATGTCACACACACATATAATGTCTTGTATTATTAACAGATGTTTGTTCTAAGTGTGATGTTTAATTGGAAAAGGGGATCCAAAAGATGACCATACAGAGTGCGATGTCATCTTGATATCTTTTTCCCTTTTCTTCTTCTTGGTGTTGCAAGTGACACTGATCATGGATAAGCTGCCAAGTCAAACCAAGCGATAATGGCTTGCATCAACATACTTTCTCATGTTGCAAAATATCTGCTGCGCATTCTTCTTTCAGCACCGTATCAAAGCCCTCTTCTCTCAATAACATGCGGCAACAACTCTGTTCAGAGGTGTGCTGTGGGCCAGTCACGGCCCGCCGTAACTGAAGTGAGATGCATTACCTCCGATGGGAAAATATTTCGCCTAAGAAAAGCATATGTCATGGAAGACATTTCAGCGTTAGACTCTTAGACCTGACGTCCATCATTTGTCTTCTCCCAGGCTGGTATGTGGTCATGTTTTAGAGGCGTATCAGTGGCTTCCAGAGCATCCAGTAACACTTCAAAGCAGATTTAGCCTGGTTGAGGGGCATTCCCATGTCGCACAGGGTCGAGAAGAGGAATGGACAGGGGTGGAGGCAGGCAGGCCATTGTCTCCTCGCTCTTGAGGTGAATTGTTCCCTTAAGATCAAACATCAAGCGCGTCGTGGGAGGGACGGGGAGCCTTTAACATGATCTGAACAGACGGCGAGGTCGAGACGTAGAAGATGCAGGAGGGAGCAGGGGAGTTAGGGAAAGCCAGAGGAGTGTGTTGTTTTTGCACTGCCAATTCTAAGGCATGTCATGTTTTCATATCTCTTTCCCCTGCCGCCTTCCTTCCCTCTTTCTCTCCCCCATTACTTCTCACACCTCCCTGCCCTACAGCTGGATGACATGATAGCTTTCCCATGTTGAAATCCTCTACAGGGCAGGTTTCTCCTGTTTGCGCCACCTCCACATTCAGCGCTACAAACAAGGAAGGGGTAGTGATAGGGAACACTTTTACTAGTCCTAAATATCCATAAAGACTTATCCTAACATTAATGAAGTAAAAATGACACATTTCACCCACAATAAGGCTGGTTTACATTCCTTTCTTTCTCACTTTCTGGGTGACCCCCACCACCACCAGCAGCTTCCTTTTCTTCCTCAAACAGGAATGCTAACTACACCCACCCCATGGGAAACGGCTCCTTGTGCTGACATCATTCAGAGGAGTGTGTGATAGTTAGATTTAATAGATACAAGGGAGGTGACAGGTATTTACAACATCAAGTGGATGCACTGATTGTGCAATGGATATGATAGGGTGAGAGAAGTTTGCTACAAAAGTTCCCGTTTGCAAAACTTTGAAGAAGAAATGCCTGTTTTCTCTCTTTCTCTGTTTCTCCCTTTCCTTCACCCTCTATTACTATCTCTTGCTCTCTTCCTCTCCCTGTCTCACCCCACATCTCTCACCCCTTATTTTGTGCCAGCGGATTAATGTGTGGAATGACAGCGTGTCAGTGATCGGACCTATTCCCAAAGCAACATTGTGAAAGACTCAGCATGCACTTTGTCCTTAATTGCTTCAATGAGGCAGTGGAAATAAATTTACGAGCCTCCTGGAGTCGTCCTCCTGACATTGTGTTTTAGGAGAGAGACTTTCTGGAGATAGCTCTGGATTAGCAACAGGCCATTTATCTGTGTATGCGCTCCTCAGACTTGTATCCAGGCAAACAGAGAGTGAGGGCAGGACAGAGAAAGAGAGAGCGCGGGTGAGTCAACAATTTGGTGCATCTGAAGATCTCTGGGAATTCGAAACCCCATTTGTGGAACGTTCCCAGCCGTAAATCTTTGGGTTATCTGGTGAGAATCCTCCTTGAGACATCCTCTGAGCGGAGCCGAGAAGGTAAAGACACAGCAGAAGGAGGAGATCTCTCAGGAGGATTTACATTTGCAAGACGGTTGACAACGGGTCACCTGTGGCCTTCCTATTTCATACAGTCTCATTCAACCCACCACCCACCACTACTCCCACCACTGCTGCCCCTACACTGAAAAAGAAAACATGCATAAAACCACGGCTCTCTGTTTTCAAGGGAACAAGAGAGAGAAGAGGAGAAGTGGAGAATAAGGCCTCTCATTCCTAATGGCTCCTCTCTTTTGATGAAACAGTTCCGTTCGGGCCACTCGGTGGGATTTTGTCAGGTGGCGCAGGCTGGCTCTGTATTAATTAATAACATTGGCTGGTCCTTTCAGGACTATGCAAATGGCTCGGGAGCTCAGCTAGAGGCTGGGAGAAAGGAGACAAAAGGCCTGGCCCTTACATTTCATATGCAGAGCCATGCGAGGGTCAGCGCTGCGGGGCCACTTGATAGGAAACACCAGCGTTTCCCTCAGGCAGGCCGTCGGATAATAGCCCAGAAACAAGCTCATTAAGGGAGATTATGAACCTCCATTCCTACACACAGACACCAAGCACTCCGAGCTTCCTCTTCTATTCTTATTCAATTGAGGTAAAGTGGGAGAATGGACGGGGTGCATGGGGCAGACAGATGCACCCCAACCTGTCTGCTGCAGTTATTGAGCTCCGTCTTCTTTCCATATTGGTAGGGATTATGGTCTTTTTTTATACCGACTCCAAAAGCCCTCTCTGTAATGGTATGGATGGAATGGTGACAATAGTCATAGAAGTTGATCAAAAGAAAAGTCTGGATCAGGGCCAACAGTGCTGTCCAAGAGAGAGTCAGTTGTCCTGGGGGACACAATGACTGTTTTGCTACAAGTTGGGATGTAAGTAACAAGTGATTTAAGTGAGTACTCACTTTTTATCTCAGGCTAGTGTAAGATTACTTTTATTCTGGTGTGTGGAAGTGTCTTTGGACTGTGTGAAGTGACTTGATGATTAACTGGTAACTTTGTCTGATACAAACTAATCATTCACTAGCTAACAAACACGAGGGAAGTCAAACTTTGCTTCATGGGTTCACTCTTCCACTTGCATAAGTAGAGTTACAGAAGAGTTATTTGCATTTTCTTTAGCCGTGCTTTAAATTTCTATTACTAATGGAGTGTGCTCCATATATATAAATCCCACACTTCTCAGCACAATGCAGTATACAGTATATTCCATTGTTTAGTTTGTTATACAGGTCCTAACCCTAAAGAAAGTTGGATGCCATGCTAACATATACTGTAGTTCCTCCACTGTATATTACTTTTATTTTAAAATAATGAACATTTACACCAAGGACCAGAAAAGCCATCCAAAGCGGACATGTTTAGATTTTGTCTCTTCAGCTGAGTGCCTGAGGAACTAACAGAAAACGGGTCAGATATTCTAAAGTGATTTATAAGTCCTCTACTCATCTTAGCTGACCAGTTTCACTGGTCCAGAAGCAGGAATGCCTCTTGTAGCTTCCTCTCCAAGTGGCTGCTGCACGGAGAATCCCCTCCAGGCTCAGCTCCGCATTCTAGAGATGAATGATTCATCTCAGATGTGGTCAATGAAATGCTCTTTACTGGTGTTTGTTTACATAAAACTCCCTTCATGTTTGATGATTCAGAACCCCAACAAATTAGCCACCTCCTCTAACAAATTATCATCTCTCCGCACGCTCCACTCATGTGAGGAGTCATGTCCGGCCGGGCTTCACCGTCAACACACGAAGCAGGAAGAAGCTTCCCGAACAGTATGTGCACAAAAATGTGACAGAGTGAATCATCCAGTGGCATGTCCTGAGTTCCCCCCTTCACCTCGCTAGTGTAATCAGCACCACACTATAAATACTGTGGCCAGCTGAGTCACACCAGAAACACAAAGAAAGAGATTTTTGCTGTTCCTGCTGCAATTATCCCACCAAGAAAGCTTAGAAATCAAAATGTTTTTAAGTGTACATGTTTACCTTGGAGGTCACATTAACCACAAAGACTAATATTTGTGATTTGAAGTAAAGTAAATGTTAGTGGTGGCTAGTTTGACCTGAACATTTTTGCCATGACACCAGAGTGTCCTCCAACTTTTTCTCTGACTAGAGGGTTTAATTACTTCTGTTAAGCTACTAATTTTGTCCAAATTATATCAGCTACAGAGACAGGCAGACAGACAGACAGACAGACAGACAGACAGACAGACAGACAGACAGACAGACAGACAGACAGACAGACAGACAGACAGAGAATGAGTTTTTGAATATGTCCGCCGGGTACAAATGCTGTAACCAATTCATGCTCTTCCAATGTGGAGAAAAGTGAACTCTCCTGCATACCACCTGATCCAAATGTGTATGCTTGTCATCATTGACGTTACTGACGTTACGCCTCAAGGCCGCAGCTGTGACACTGGAGATGATGGTGCAAGAGAGCTGTCACGGGACGTTGCAATTAAGGAGGAATTCAGTTTTCTGGCAAATGAATTGATATCACAGTTTGAGCAGGGTGCATGACTCAGACTCTCCCAAGTTTTGTTTTCTGTTTGTCTCCAGAGTGACAGTCTGGAACAAGAGGTAATGGAATATGACAGATAGCAGGATCAAGTTATCGTTTCTTAATCATTGATTTCTCCCCTTGTGGAAGAACTCCTCGAGCCCAGTTGGGAAGTTGTTGTTGTTTGTGCGTCTCAAAGAGCTACACTAGGTGTACCGTCTGGGTAGTTCTCTACAGACCTTGTTTTGACTACCAGGCTGTGTTGCGTTAGTGGTGAAACATACTGTCATGCCAATACCAAAATGATGTTTGTTTTTGGCCTTAATCAGTCAACAGACCCTGGGTCCTCGTAATGCTACTCCTTTAATAAACAAGGTCAATAAGCGCTACATGTATAGAATACAAGACCCTGATTTATAGCACTGGAAAGAGAGGAGAGGGTGAAAAGGAGAGTTTTGGCCTTTTTTTTCTTTCTTCTTTTGGCTGTTGTTCAACTTTCCAACTTTAATTAATTTACAAGTTTAATGTGCATACTGTGCATTGCAGCCACCCAGGAGGAGTGGGCCATGTAGGGCAGCAGACTGTGTGACCAGAGGCCTGAGGATGAAGTTTCAGGGGGTAGGAACACGGAGGAATGGAGATGAGGGGGCACGGGGAGGAGAAAGGGCCATTGAAGGGGGTGAGAGGCGTGCAGGCCAGGCCAGCCAGCCGCTGCTCACAGGGAGCTTTCCATCGCAGGCGTCCCCACTCAGCTACATACACTGTTTATCCTCAACATGAATATCAATGAGGACCTCCTAAAATACGACCATTCTTCCCCCCACATGCAGCAGCCACCAGGCCGGAGTGTCAGCCCGCATCGGCTGCACGCGCGCGTCCTTGTTCTGCTACAGACCTGTCTTGTCTTGAGTGCGAAAAATCAGCTTGCTGCCCACTGCCCGCCACTCTGCTCTCCCACAAACCTACGTCTGTGCTGTGTGTGTGTGTGTGTCTGTGTGTGTGTGTGTGAGAGTGTTGGTCTATGTCTGCATCTTAAAGCATGCAGGCATCAGCGCATTGTTTCTTGCTTGTGTCTCTTAGGTGTCTGCCTCCTTGCCTGTCAGTCTGCGCTCACTACACACGTACAGTAAATCCATGTATGCCTTTGTCCTTTTAGCCCTCTATAGAAAGTTGTGCTCTTACAGCAGTGATGTAATGCTGAGGGGCTTTGTGTGCTCTTTCCTCTTGGCTCGAGGTAGCCTTTAATAAATCGCCCCTTGGCAGAGGCCCAGCGGCTAACACAGGGGTGTATAATAAGTTCATTTATTTGTCAACACTGAGCCCACAAGATGAGAAAGCGCCTGGCTGTGCATGTTAAAAAGGCAGTGAGGGGCTGCCTTTACAGCTATCAAAGGGCCTACCTCTTTGATTCCAGATTTAAAAAAAAGAAGGAAGAAAAATCTCCTTCAGAGCCATCGCACGCAGTTTGCTTTGCAATTGAATATGGCAATATGTTAATGTGCAGGCTGTTTCTATGCCCCCACTGCCCACTCCTCTAGCCCATAGGTGGCCCAGGAACAGAGGCATACTTGTGGGGGCGGGGGGGAGTGGATGGGAAGCAGGAGGTGAGGGTCGCTGGAGGGCGACTCTTTTCTTCTTCCAAAACCTCACAAGAGTCTGGACATAGACTTGAGAGTGATGTGCATCGGAGTTGTCCCCCCCCCCCCCGCGCCAAGCCCACCTTCCCCTTCTTTTCTCCTTGTTGCCTTGTCGCCATACCGTCCATTCCTCCTTCTTCATCTTCCTCCCCCCGTCGACCCCCTGTCCCCCCTGTCCAGCCACGCTCTTTGTCCAGCCTGTCTCGCTGAATTGGTATCAGCAGAGAGGGGATGGATGCTGTGTCTCTCAATTGGGTGAAATGAGGTGATGACTCTGGACAATGGAGTCACACTCTTCTGCCTTCCCTCTTGCAGGCCCGCCACTCTATTAATATGCTAAAAGATAGGAGGGCCGCCAATGCAAACCACTGCCTGTTGTAGCAACAAAGACTGGGGCATGTGTGCCATTCACTGGCCCCATCTAAGCAGGCCATGTGTTGTCCAAAAAGAAAGGTAGAAGTTGAGCAAGACATAAAGAGAGAATAGAGAAAGGAGCGAGTGTGTGTGTGTGTGTGTGTTTGTGTGTCTCTGTTTGTGAAGAGAAAAACTCTCTCTCTCTCTCTCTCTCTCTCTCTCTCTCTCTCTCTCTCTCTCTCTCTCTCTCTCTCTCTCTCTCTCTCTCTGTCTGTCTGTCTCCCTTGCTCTCTCTCCCTGTATGCCAGTTGCCTTGCCTTTTCGGGCTTCTGGCCCGTTCACAAGCTGTCTCATTTGCATTATGAATGACAGTGAGGGGAGCTAACAAGGTTATTGGTCTTTGAGACGCACGCCTGTGACCACACGTGGAAAAAGGACCTACAGCAGTGAGCATTGGCAGAGGCACTGAGCCTCTTTATTCCTCCCTTTCCAAGCGCTATGGGGCTTTTTTCAGGGAGCACACGATTTACTCAGGAGATGGAAGAAAAGGGGCCGGGCTGGGGAAAGGGGGGACTGGGGTGGGGAGTGGGTGAGGGTGGTTGCTTTTCAGCTCCTTTACAAGCCAAGTGAACCCTCATTATCCAGGCCCCTGGTCATTAGTGAGCGCTGCGTTCAGACCCGGTGCAATAGAAGGATTATTTATTAGCTGACTGCTAGATGACAAAATCATATTGTCTCCGGGAGGGACATATCTTTACCCTGTTTGTGGAGCATATGAATTATAACGAGCAATTTAGAAACAGCACCAGGTGAATAAAGAATCCAGTGTAAAAAGTCATTTATCCACTGAACTAAAGATTTTAGCCACTTACAAGTAACATTTACAAACTAACTAAGCACTGAAGACAAGTTTAACTCAATTGGTATTTCTTCCTCCAACAGATTTCACATTCGCGATGTACCCTCCCTCCATGATTGCCACAGGAAGTGTGGGGGCAGCGATCTGTGGCCTGCAGCTGGATTCAGCTGACCAGTCACAGTGGGGCGACAGTCTCACAGACCTGCTGGCCAAAATCACAAACACAGAAGTGGTGAGTTTGTTTTATACTCCTCTGTCACATCCAGAACACCAGTTGCAGCTTATATGAGTTTAAAACACATTCCAGTGTGGTCTTGTTAGTCAGGGTTTAACTAAGAGCTTGATTGTGCAAGGAAATTTTTGAGGGGATGTTTCTGAGTAATATTTGAATGAGGAGGAGTAAATTTATCTCGCTCACTGACATCAGTTAGGTGTTCATGGTATTTAGTTTAGTGCACTATGACAGTAACTCTATGATTCAAAGCTGAATCAGCAGCCATTGGAAGCTTTTAATCTCTTCAGTCGGTTTACATCTCCAGTTAAATGCCACATTTAACTCATCTGATTACCACTGAAACACACAGTTTTACAATCTGTTTGTGTTAACAAGAAAATTCAGGTTATTTTCTACCAGACGCTACTTCTCTGAGGGAAAATATCCCTGTTATTTATGTCAAAAGTTAAGAAATGCCACATGTTTGTTGAGGTTGTGCGTTTGCAACAGACAAGAGTTGAAATGTTGAAATGTCACACTCAGATTTGGCTTCTTCACTGGGATTCGGCTTTCCGCAAATCCATTTTTGGGGGATTCTGATGCCAATATTTGTCATGAGAAGAAGAAAATAAAATGAGTGTCAAACTATGACCAAAAATGTCTTCATTAAAAGAAATGCCGAACTGCGTCAGTTTATCCTCTGTCAAAACACTTGACTGGACTGAGAGGTAGCATGTGGCAGGTTTCTTTTCCTCTCCATCAGTCTGGCCAGGCTGCCCAGGGCCCCCTCATATAAAGAATCCTCTAAATCGAGCCAGGTTGAGAGCGTATACAGTAAGCTCTGTCGCTGACAGGAATGCTGGCCAGGCCGTTGTGTGGCTGTCTGGGTACAGTGAATGTTGCGGTGGTGGGTGAGTTGAGTCCAAACACAGGCAGGGCCTCTACTGACTCTGAGATGCCTGGCTTTCATCATGCAGATGGGAGAGGGCTTCAGCTTGCTATAGCTCACTGTAAGGGTGAGTAGGTGGGCAAAGCTGCAGAGGGTAAGGAGAGCGAGACTGATGTGAGATGATAAGTTGATTTGTTAAGTTGTTCTTTATTAGTCTCTTTGGAGAAATTAGTCTTCTGCATTTGACCCATCCCAACTATTCAGGAGCAGTGGGCAGCCACAGCGCAGTCTCCAGGGACCAGCTCTAGTTCTGAAGCCGCTGCCTTGGCAGGAGTGCTCCTAATACCAAACATGATGAAAAAGGCTTTTAGTGAGTAATTGCAGACTTCATTTAAACATGAACATTAGGAGTTCATGTATGCTCACTGCGCACGGGGGCATGACACGGATCCCAAGCCTCAGTCCTGGTATGTTAAATTCTGTCCCAAAAGGAGGCAAACTAGGAGGAGGAGGTGGAAGAAAGCTGTTGAAGTGTGAAAAGGACACTGGGGGGGTGTCATGCCTCCCTCGCGACAATCAGCCCTCTCTCGTCTCCTCCGATGGTCCATAATGCATCACTGCTGGAAAGCATGGCTCCCTCTGGTGCGAGCTGTGTGAAGTCTCGCTCAGCAGCTGAGGAAAAACAAATAGCTGACCTCAGCAGCACAGGGCCTCAGTGTGTTTAGGCTGCAAGGTCTTAGGCTTGAGGGAATTAAGTCGCTCTGTGTCTCTGATCAACTCTTCGCATTCCTGGATTCAGACAAGCCATGGCTCGCAGTAAACACACGAGGCAAAGCAGAGGGCACCCTTCCTAATTCAACATATATAAGAGGGTTTAGTATAAACTGCTAGGAAGCAGCCAGCAACTAAACACATGTGGTATCTTTTGGTTTATAAAGTTACTTCAGACCTTTACATCCTACTTGTGCATTACTTGTGGTACAACATAAAAAACACAGCCCAATGACAGATGCCCACAAGTAGTTGTCAGCATTAATACGTGGTTTTGGTGCTATTTATGCTGTCACTGTCACTGTTTGAGCATTTAGGCTTTCACACGCAACAAAAAGAGGAAATGGTGATCATTGACCGTGTCATTTGAACACTTACCCTACCTTCTTTTCCCAAAAGCTTAACCACTTTATACGTCAATTCAACACCCAAGGACCACCTCAACCTCAATTTCGACTGCAGTCATCAGGGTGGTGGTATGAACCTGAGTCTAAATGTGTACACATAACACACTGTCTTTGGTTTTGGCCAGCAGTGTAGAGGCTCGGCAAGATGGTAGAGCAGTGTCTTGTAGCCAGCCGGCCAAAGAGCCAGGCAAAATATGAAGGCAAAGCAAGTTTCGCCAACCTCTGCAGCTGCTGCTGCCAACAGCATCATGGCCAACGCCACCCCCCCTGGCACCCTGCTGGCATCTGTGGTATCCAGAAGCTGTGGTTTTCCAGTGGAAATGTGATAGGGCCAAGTCACCATCCTGGGCCGCTGGAAGAATGTGTGTAGCCTCACATGCACCTGGTGTGGCCAAGAGGGGCTCCCTGTTAGGGACAGCAGACGGGCCCTTGTGCCTGGGAGCCAAGTCAGAATGTGCAGAGAAAAAAAAACATTACATTTGTGAGAATGTGTTGAGTTTCAAGTGGGAGGCAGATCAGTTGGGATTTTCCTAAACTTCACAGGTCATCTGTAGTGGCAGTAAGAACGCTGGAATATACGCCTCAACACAAAATTTAGACAAATAGTTAGTACATGAGGGCTGAGTGTGTAGAGTTCCCCTTTATTCTTGAATGATTAAAACAGGAAATAGAGGTTAGAGAAGTGCAATGGTTTAAGACCACCACTTCCTAGATTTGATCGTTTTGACACTCATTTTCTCTCAGTCTCTCATTCATCTTTTTTTTTCGGTCAGGGTCAAATACTAAGACACCGGAAACACATTTTCCCATTTCTCCCCGTCTTCCTGTTTTCATTCCTCTTTTTTTTTTTAATCACTCTGGTTTCCATTGTGGCCTAACTATCTCTGAGATGGTCTCACGAGTTACACGATGGATGAATGTGAAATTGAAATGTGATTTTTTTTTTTAGAGGGAGGGCCGGGTGTTAACCCTAACAGTAATGTGAGCGTAAATGCTTGCAACAAAGATTCATTTATTAGGAAAGATTATCTCTATTAACACAGCCTGTGGCCTGTTGCGTCACCGCTGGTGGCGTTTCGGCAAGCAGGCTGAAGAGGGAGAAAGGTCACATTTTCTATTGTAACTTTATGGAAATTCAAGTCATGTGGTGACTCCTTATTTCCAGTGACAGCCTCTGGATATTTTGTCTTAAGATTCCCTGAGATCTGTAGTGTGTGTCTGCCTCTGTGTTTGTTTCAGCTGTCTGACCACCAAGTCCTCCCAGAGTTGCTAACACTGTCTTGTGTGGTACAGTCAGCAGTTAAAACACATTCCATGGCTTCACACATTTCTTCCTTTTGGTTTTGTCTGTCTGCACGACTTCCCCCCTAATGCCAGTGTCACAAAGGCTGTCCTGGGGATCATGTGCATGCCTTGATTTGTCAAAGGGACGGATTGTTGCAGTATGATGCATGTTTGAGGTGGGGCAGATGGACAAGCGTAACGACAAGGGAGGATCTGAGGTGGTTATGTGTTTTCCGGGTTGAGGCTGCAAAATAAGATGCTTCAGTATAGCGCTACCTCCCATGACCAACTTATTCAATGCTGTTGGCCCCATTCAGTATCCAAGTACCTAGAGCTTCTCTGAAAACAGTATTGGTGTTTCCAGTAGTCACACATTGAAGTCATTAAAATTTCACGAATAAAGCCCATGGGGCTTGGCATAGGATCCGAACTGCTGCAGCAGAGATGGGGGTAGTATGTCTTTCAAGAAGGGAAGGCGTGCATTCTTGCGGTAAGACACAGGCAGTTCCTTTACATGTTCTTCGCTTTACTTAATTTTCTCACAGGAATTGAGATTTTATGACCAATGGGGCACATGTTGGTGGGAAGATTTTGTGTGTGTGTGTGTGTGTGTGTGTGTGTGTGTGTGTGTGTGTGTGTGTGTGTGCGCGCACGCCCATGTTAGCGGCCAAACTCTGGAGGAGATTAAGGGACAGACGCCGGTCGGGTTTCCTCCACGTCAGACCCATTGCTGGGGGAAACGTTCTCCCAGAGCCACCCAGCCCAGATCAGTCCAACCTCCTCAACATCAAATCATTCTTCATGGATTGTGATCCAAAAAACTCTCTCGAGCTAATCATTGGTCGATGCTGGAGAACTCAAAATAAAAGAGATGTCAAGGCAGTAATTACTTCATGCAGACTTCAGATATCAGCAAACCCCCTCTAGTTTGAGTCATTTTGTCAGTGGTCATGTAATGCAATAGAATTCTTAGTCCCCTTTTAAAAGAGATTCCACTCGTGAAGAAATCCTCCATAACATTGTCCACATGTACACAATTTCAACATATTGTGAGTCTTGAAAGTTGAGTTAGAAGTCAGAAACTCAGTAGTTTCCCTTTGATAACATAGTACATGCCTCAGCCTGTAATGTGTCATGCTGTTTGACCTTTGAAACTGTGACCTTTTGTCACTCACCCGTTTCCAGCTCCCAAAGAGCTATTCTGATGTGAGCGGGGTCTCAGTTCTCATTTCATCAAGGCCCAGCGGCACCAGAAGCTATAACACAGGCTCAAACTGTGGCCCATCAGGTTTAAATTAGCTGTAAATTTCAAAAGAATGTTTCCCCGCTCCACAAGCGGTACACTTTCACCCATCCCTCTGGCCATGGGGCGCTCTCAGTCATGTTTCCCACAAACGCCTGGTGCTTTAAGGCAGGGGGTTATGCATGTGTGTGCATGTGTAGAGCTGAAAGCAAGCAGCTCTGCCCCAGTTGTGCTATCGTATTTCACCACCAGAGAGCAGTGTTAACTCTGGATCAGCTCTTTCAGACAGGAACTTTGCCATTAGTTTATGTTGCAGCAGTCTGCTCTTACCTCTGAATATCTTTTGTCATTGCTGCTCTTCATCCAAGAACAGTTTGACCTTTCTCTGACGCTCTTGCTAACAAACCATTTAGCACCCCCCCCTTTTACCCGCCCTCACTTCTCCCCCTCCCCAATGAGTTGCTCGCTCTTCATGCCCTGCGCTGTCCCCTCTGTCAACCCTCCATCAGGGAAGGATATGAGGGCTCAGCGCTGTTGAGAGGCTCCTCTCCCAGGTGGATTCTCAGATTGCCGCGGCGGCCTTTGATGGTGAAAGGCGAGCCGGCCAGGTCTCAGATGGATCCCCTGCAGGCAGGCAGGCACACAGACTGGCTCTCGTTAAAAAAGCACCACCTTTGTGTTCCCACAGGAGGTGGATGTAATTAACATAGCTTTAGTACTACCTGTGTTTTCAGCCGCCGTTGTCAAGGCTACTTCTGTTTGGGTTTTGTGTGTTTGGGAATGGTGGTGGGATAGGTGGGTGGTTGGATGGGGGAGGCAGTGGCGTGCATGCATGGGTGTGCATGTGGTATTGCATATGTGTGTCTGTGCACATGAACACTATAGGGGGTGGTGTTCAGTGCACAACCCTGGTGGGCTGATGTAATGCTTGGGTCTGGTCCGTGTCTGTGCTCAGCCTTGGCAGTAGTTGGAGCTGCTAGAAAGTCGGTGGTCATTTAAAACCCCTGGCTTACGCTGCCCAGGGGCCCCTCTTCTGCCACACCGTGGGCCCCTGTTTGTCATGCACTGACTAAAGTTTTCAGATTCCTCTTGTTACTCTTGACAATAGTTGCAAGTTCCCCACTGAGCAACCGTGGTACATATTAACTATAGCTGCCGTAAATACTGAGCAGATAAGTAAGTAGCTGTGGAAAAATGAGAATATATCCAAGAATATTTTCTTAGGACTTTCTTTGTTGCCAAATAATGTACCTTTTAATGTAAATGCTTAAACCTTAAATCAATCATACAGATCAAAGTTTAGCTGAAATCTATATGTTTTTATAGCAAGTCCTCCCTTTCTTGTTACATTGCAGGATGTTCTCAAAGAGTGCCAGGAGCAGATTGAGCGTGTGTTGATGAGCAGCCTGCGCGAGGGGCGGCAACAGCAGCAGCAGCAGCAGACACAGAGAGGCCCCAGCGGGAAAGGCCTGGACGAGCTGGATCAATCCTCCACCCCTACAGACGTCCGCGATGTCAACTTGTGAACCACCAGAGGGCATCATTGCACAGGATTTACAAAAAAAAAGCATCATGAAAAAACCTCAATTTTCTTAAAAGCAGAAAAAAAAGAACAAAAGAACAAAAAATTTTAAAAACACAAGCCCTTTAAAAGAAAAAGAACAATGCTTGCTAGTTTTTTTTTTTGTAGATTTTCTGTTCTTCCAAGTCAAAAACACCTGCCCACGAAATAGATTTTCTATGATGTTTTAGTCTAAAAGCAACAAATTTGATTCAAGATGAAGCTCTGTGGTGCCTTGGATATACAGAAGGGAAGCCATTCATATTTGCATTCTGCCTCTGATTGTATAGTATGATCTTTAAGTTATATTTTAACCATAGCTTGATATTGAGGCTGTTATGCTAGAAATTATGGAAACCATTCAGAAATTGCATACATGGGATCACAGTGGGGCTTCACTTTTTTTCCCTCTGTTTTGTTTTATATGAGTATTATCACTATTACATTCGTGGCTGGTGTAAGAGAGGACACGGGTTCGCGCTCCTCGAGCACCACAAGGTCCACATGTTTGTCGAGGATGAGACAGACAGAGGAAAGCGTGAGAACATTATGCTAAAAGTTGGTGGGTCCCAGTTCCAGGGAAGAGACGGAATGATAATAATTATTAGTAGTGTTAGTAATTATTATTATTATTATTATTATTAATGGACATATTTTGGAACTGAGTAGTAGAGCTCAATAAGCTCCTTTTTGTCAGGCTGCTTGTGTGCGTGTCAGTTTGTGGGTGCAAGCGTGTGTGTTTGTATGTGCCAGTTTGCTTGCATGCCTGTGTGTGTGTGTGTGTGTGTGTGTGTGTGTGTGTGTGTGTGTGTGTGTGTGTGTGTGGGTGTGTGTGGTGTGAATGCTACATGTGATCCTGTATCTATATTAGCAGTGTGCATTCTATAGCGTGAGGCACTTGAGCAAAGTCAAGTCGTAGACTCGTGGTTCTGTGTTAAAAGACTAAGGGTCAAGCCGAGGCTACACATACTTTGTCCATCAGTATAACAGGGCATCTATGCTATATCACTGCCTCCATGCATTAACAATGTATCATGGTTGATTGTTGGCCAACAATAAACTCATGTGCATGGACTATGAGTGAGACAGAAAAAGATTAAGAGAAGGAGGATATGGGCGAAGGGACTTTGACTTAGAGCCCCTTATTTTTCTAAGTGCGTTTTTCCTGAGGTGTTGCACCTCAGACTCAGAAGTCGTGAGGTGTTTGTTTATTACTGCCATTCTGTTAATGAAATATTACAGATACATCATTCTTTTTCACGTTGTTACAATATGGTATTTCCTTAGTTGTGAAAGGCTGCTTTGAGTCTGGACAGAGTGGTAATGACCTCTTACATGTGCAAGGGTGTATGGCACATGTGAAAACAGGAGAGGGCGATGTCTTGAAGAAAGTAAGGCTATGCTTTTTAAAGTCTGGAGGATGTTAGACTCCTCTGTGTTAATTAGCAGGGAGGGAACCGGGTGTGGCGTGGAATGAATTAGAAAGAGAGGGACAACTAAGAAGTCACTGTGGAACTGTGGAAGGCACATGAGTGCACAGCACAGGATGGTAGGGCAGAGAGGACTTCAGTGGTGCAGGAGCATGCTGCTGTGTAGGAGTCGGGGAGGATTTACAGCCAGTGGCTGGAAGATGATAACAAACAAAAGACCCCCAAAGGCCTCACGATAAAGTTTTGATATCTGCATATTTGGATGGAATCAATATTAACTTCTCATAATGGATTTCTACAATCACGTAGCTAAGTGAACAAAAACCTTCTGGGTTTCCATTTACATGGAAACGAAATGGGGAACTAAGACTGTACACTGCCAGATCATGTGAGCGTGAACATTTTCGGGGGTGGGTGGGTGGGTGGGTGTTGGGTGGGGAGTGGGGTTAGAGGAGTACAGGATGATGATGATATACTGTCAATGCATCTGGAGTCCCACATAGGGTTGTTTTCAGCTCCCCTATATGATTTCAATGGCAAAGCACTTTGAGAACATGCTCCCCAGGAGATAAGTAAAATGAAATGCGTTGGGTGGTGATTGGAGGTGAATGGATGTTTTCTTTTTTCCTTGTTAGCCTTTTCTTTGGTTTACTTTGTAGGGCTGGTTTCCCAATCATCAGACATACCCTTGTCAAGCAAGAGTCAAATTAAAAAAGGCTTTCCACAACTTACGACGTGGGGACATTCCGATTAAACAAACAAACAAACAAACAAACAAACAAACAAAAAACATTCCTATTCAAGCAAAGTGCAAGTTGATGGGGAGTCTGACCGTTTCAGCGAATTTGAACAAATATATAAAACGCCAATATGAGTTGAAAAATGCCTACACACAGAGTTCACTGATCCATGGGTTCTGTTTGATTTTCTTTTATATTGTCAAGAAATGAAATATTTGTTTTTACTTGAATTTTTCTTCATATTTATCTGCATCACAGCCACAGATAGTCACACAGGGCAACGATGAGCTACAAGAAAAGGTGGTCGTAACATCCAATATTTGCACATGTTCTTCAGAGGGCAATGAGGTTTGCGTTTTTTGAGACAGAGCATAGCCTTTGTTCGAAACCACCTTAACTGATGTGTGTTGCAGTGGTTGGTCAGTTTTCTATGGTGCTGGCTTGCGTGTTTCAGGCCGATTGTCTGTCAGTGAACACATCTGTCCCCTGTGAGCTTTGCTGCTTCAAATCATTGGCAAGGGGGTTCATCAGCCAGACAGACATCAGCACAAAACAAGAGACAGATGATATTTTTTTTTGTTTTGTTTTAATGGGACACATGGCTTTGCCACAGCAAGGTGTCTTTGACTTAATGCTTGAGTTTTTTTTTTTTTTTTTTCATGACGGTATGTGACTTTGCTGTGTGTATATTTGTCAGACTGAAGAAAAAATGTGGGGATCTAACATTTTAGTGATGTTTTTCAGTAAAACTGGGCAATTTAATGACACATTTGCCAAAACATCCCCGTCTGAATATTTGATATGACCCCTTCATTTTGCCTCTGTTTGCCTGATGTAAGCTCTCTCCCAAACTTAATGGTTGTGATTTTCTTTCCTGCAATTTATTGTTGCATGTGTTATATATTGAGACCACCTTTTTCAATTTGTGTTTGATATATTTTATGGGGTGACCAGACCCGCAAAAGGGTTTTTCTAAGATTTAGAGATACTGTATTCCAAAGTGAAGAGAAGACAGAAGAGGTGTGAAGACATCAAGAAAAAAGTGTCAATATTTTTATTGAGTTATTGTTGTCTTTTTGCGCTGCTAAAAGCTATGAATTTGTTTCATTTATACAAAAAAAATAACATTACCTAGTTGTGATGTGTCACTTGAGTGTGCTGCTATTTTATAAACATTTGTATTATAATATAATTATTTTACTGCTTAAGAGATACATTCAGAAAAAAAACGAAGTAGATGGTGATAGAAGAACATGAAATGAGTATTCGACTGGAAATGTTCTTTGTACAGTTTGACAGTTTGCTTAGATAGCATGTCTCCTTTCCCCCTTTTTTTTTAATCTATTTTGCTCTCCTTCTTCAGTCACATTCTGCATCAGTGGTATTTCCTATACCTCAGGATTACTGGACAAAATTACACATAAACAAATCCATCATCTATACCTCTGCAGTTAGGGAGCCTGGAACGGAGGAGAAAGAATACAGTGGGGGGGGAAGCAACGACAAATTAGCATTTTTGTGGATGATTCCCACTGTTTTAGTGAGGAACTTGCTCAGTGAGATGGGAAACAGGAGATATGCAAGGCTTCCACTTGGACTTAACCTATATTGGAGGTGGGAGGCACAACAACATTGCAACATATTTTTTTTTTTTTTTGGGGGGTTATTCTGTAGATAGTTCAAGCATGTGCATTTCTGTTCATGTTGGTGCTACATCTGATTTCTTGTGTGCCAGAGAGGGGAAAAACGGCATTCCTATGATGGCCAAAGTACAGTTCTTGCTTTATACAACCACGATTACTCCGAATGTCAGTAAATATGGATTCTGTATGTGAGAAAGATACGTTTTGGTCTGAAATATTGTGTCTGCGCACCATTGTGACTGCCACATAATAATGGGTTTAGGCTACATCTGTCATGTCCTACAACTATAAATATTCTGATATCTGGAAGTTTCAATGGTGCAGATTTCCCTTTGAGTTGCCTCCCCCCTCCACTATAACTCATATCATGTACCTCAAATGTCTGTTGCACAACCTCTGTTCAATAAACTTCTGCTTTAAAGGGTGTGACACCACATCAGCTCACTATTTCCCACGCCTGTGTTCCTTTTGAGCTCTGTGTCTAATTGTTTCATGATCAATAGACTAGTTTGTGTGTACTTGTGTGTGTGAGTCAGCAATGATACAGCAGAGCAAAGTTCAGCTGTACACACTTAATCACTTGAAAGCAACACAAAGCAGGGATGACGAACGTGGGACAATATGTGTTCCTGTGGCCAGAATATAAGGATTATTGGCTAAACACTGGAAAAACAGGATGTATTGATATTTCTGCTCAGTCCAATAAATCTGCCACGCAAAGTAAAGGAAATATACTGGTTATGATTAAAGGACTCTAGACCCCTGACCACACTCCTATAAGTCCCCGATGTCTACTGAGAAATAGAAATGTAATGGAGAACTTATGGACAACTACTTTTCTAGAATTACATACTGAATAATCAGTGCAAAAACCAAAACAGGCTGTCCTCCTCCTCCTCCTCCTCCTCCTCCTCCTCCTCATTCACTGGGGCCATTATATTCTGCATAATCAGGCAGCGGATGATGAGATAAAGGATGGTTTTAATTTAGGACACTAAGAACCCCCCAAGTACTCCCGGCCTGACCAGAGAAAAATGTGTGGAGAGATGTCACAAATAAAGCCAGCAGACAGGGGAAAGTGTCAAACTATGCCCTCTAGTGGCTGCATACACTCAAGCATAGATTAAAAGACAATATCATGAACTAAAAATGTAAATCTTTATAGTTTAATTTATAAATTTACTCAAGACAAAATATGGATTTAAAAGTAGCACAATTATCACCTGGTTAATTAATTAATAATATAATTTAGGAGAGGCTCATTGTGGTTTCAGAAGTTGATGCACATGCATCAATAAACTTTAATTTAGTAGCCTAATTATTTCATGAAATGTTGGTTAAAAAAAAACAACCTTGGTATTGGAAAATAAGGAAAACATGTGTTTAATATTTTTTAAATTATGTAAAAGAAAATAAATTCAGACAACCAAGACATTTAAAGAAAAATGAAGTTACAGTAAAAAGTAAATAGTAAGGTAAACAGGTGCTACCAATAAAACTAAATAAGGTTCAGTCCCCTTCAGCTCTAACAGGTGCATGTTGTCTCACTCAAAGAGCTACACTAAATGGAACACAGCCTTAATTAATACTATTGGTAACACCTGTGTTTACCCAACTATTTCATGTCAGAATGGCTGCTGTGGAAAAGATCTATTTATAACAAGTTAATTAAGTATTTCATAACTTTATTCAGCCAATCAGAAGAGAGACTGTACTGCCTTTCTACTGATGAGTTAAAAATAAAAATAAAAAGAGGTTCTGTGGCCTGATTCAACCTGATATCTGGATCAGCAAGGACCTTTCTAAATGTTTAAGTATGAGCAATAATTAAAAAATATTAAATTATAAATAATAATTTAATTTACTACCTATAAATCTGGCCACTTAAATTAAAGTGATCTGATATCTGGATCGGCAGTAATAATAATAATAATAATAATAATAATAATAATATAATAAAATAGTAATAATAATGTTAATAATAATAATATAATAATAATAATAATATAAAATAGTAATAATAATGTTAATAATAATAATATAATAAAATAGTAATAATATAATGATAATAATAATAAAATAGTAATAATAATAATAATAATAATAATGATAAAATAAAATAGTAGTAATAATATAATGATAATAATAATGAAATAGTAATAATAATAATAATAATAATAATGATAAAATAAAATAAAATAATAATAATTTAATAAAATAATAATATAATAAAATAGTAGTAATAATATAATGATAATAATAATAAAACAATAATAATAATGTAATAAAATAGTAGTAATAATAACAATAATAATAATAATAATAATAATAATCTTTATACATATAAATCTGGCCAGTTGTTATGGTAACATGTTGCGACCGACAATGTGGACCGGAGTGATCCACATTGTCGGTCGGACTTCAGTTCCTCTCTCAGGGCGGAGGACTGTAGTTGTCTTGAGGGCAGTTTTTAAACTACCAACCACAGTTAATGCGGTATTTCTCCGTCGTTAACTTCCAGAGCATGAAAGCGTTAAGATTCGGGCTAACCATTGTTCGACAGTAAGTGCAGTTGTTGCTCCCATACAACGCGACAGTTAATATATTAATAATATATTGATATGTTCCTGTGTGTGGATAATCGATATATATATATATGTGTGTGTGTGTGTGTGTGTGTGTGGGGGAAATGATACCAGTGTTCAGCTTCTTCGTTAATCCTCTTAGTACTTTAAAAGTAACTAGTTAAGTCAGCCACATGACTTCAGTCTGCAGTTGTCTGTGTGTTTGTTTGTTTATTTCTAAGTAACTCTAACAGGTGTTCTTCAGATAGAGAAACATAAACCACGTTCTCCATCTGCGCCTGCGCGGTTGCCATATTGGAGAGGTCAAGATCCGCTAGTTAACGCTGCAGAGGGACGCAGACCTCACTACAAAATCCGCCGTAATTCGCTTAATTCTGAACAGATATTCATGAAATTTGTTTTTTTATAAACGTGAGGAATTGAACTTGATACTAGTTAGTGGTTGGGATTAATTCAGTCACTGGGGGCGGATCTAATCAGCTGTACAGGCACACAAAAGAGTTCAAACAGGCGAGGATTAACACAAAAAAAGTCACTGCTGTTCACTTTTAGCCAAAAAACAGAATGAAAACAATGCAATGTGTACTAGAATAAATAAAGTGTCAACGCATGAAATAGTGTGAGGAAAATAATTCACCTTTATTGAATTGAAAAAAATGTTTTCCTGCAGACAAACTCACTTTGCAACAATCCATAAATACAGATCCATAAATCTACATCTTTAGAGAAAACAAAAGCTAAAAGTCTAAATCATTTACACTTGATGTTGCCTGTTCATATATTGTAACATGTGCCAGTGGAAGTTAATGTTCTTGTGCACACAGCAGCGGCCAATGAGGGGGTCTCTGTTTCTGTATATGTGGTGTCACTTACTGTCAGGTACAAACAGACCTTGGCAGTGTCAGCCTCTATTACATAGTCACATTTTGTAATAATGTCAATACACACAGGACAGTTTCATGAGAGGAGCAACGACCCCTGTACTCCCCTGTACTGTACACTCAACACTGGGTCAGTCTTTGTAGAGACTGCAGTAACTCCTCAGGACCACCAGAGGTCAGAATAAGTGAATGAATGAATGACCCCCCCTCATATTATCAAACTAAATGTAGAAAACCAAATTGGAATACATGGTCCAGAGATTTGGTTTGATATGATAATAATTTGTACATACGAACAGATTAAATCCATATTAAATAAATGTGAAACCATAGATTGTTTGTGGGTCACGGGTAGAACCATTTATTTACTTATAAAACCAGAATCTGATGCGTTGCAGGTACAATTTTTTTTATATTTTATTCATTTATTATGTCAGTTTCCAGCTTCTTTTCTTTTTGTTATGTAATTATAAGTTAAATATCTTTTTGTTTTTTGACACCTGGTCAGATAAAAGAAGCCATCTGAAGACTTAGAGTTACTTAGTTAGCTCTGGGAAACAGTGAAAGGCATTTACACTATCATCTGATGTTTTATTGACAGTTGGTTCCCTGATGAAGAAAGTAATCATTAGCTGCATCCCTAGCTGACACTGCCACGTGAAATAATCAGACAATAACTTATTGAACAGTAGCCTCTCGGAGCTTCTTTACCTAATCTGTTAATAATAATATCTCCTGTCCTTTATTTCCTGCAGTGGGGAAACTCCGTACAATAAACAAGGCCTGCTACAAGGTAAAGAGTATGATCAATTACACTCTCTCTCTCTCTCTGTCTCTCTCTCATGCTTTCCTCTGTGTCTTACTTTCATACTTCCACTGTCCCTTCCACACAGGCCAGGCTATAGATGCACCCTTGTCTGAGATCGGGCTGCAGCAGGCCGAGGCTGCGGGCCGTTACCTGAAAGACGTCAAGTTCAGCAACGTGTTTGTCAGTGACATGCTGCGGGCCCAGCAGGTACAACGCTTGACTTCAGGAGTTAAGATGAAAAATGAATCAAGACAGTGCGGGATATATTTATCTTACTGCATGGTTGGATGCAGTAGAAATACAGTACATTAGACTGTAAACAGTAGTCCAGTGTGGGGAAAATGGAATTACTATCAAATCAATATCTAAATCTAATTTAAAATAATTACTACACATATAAATCTTATTTGCCATGTCCGTCTTTCTAATTACTTGCCAGTCAAACCATAATTCATCACTTGAACTGTCAGTATGTGACTGTAACTCACAGAAATGGACAGGTTTTGGAATCTAATGTAAATATTTTACTATTATTTACACAAATGTAATAATAAAAGAAAGGAAACATATTCTGTATTTTTGCCCAGTATTATAATCTTGGAAAAGGGTGACCCCAGCCGGAAGATAATGCTGTTTAAGTTTGGAAAACCTCTGCATTAGTCCACACTTTTGTTTTATTTTCCCAATGTTCGGTATGTTACAGTGTGTCAGTGCGTGACGAGTGTGTGTTATTTCTTCCAGACTGCTGAAGCAATAATGAAACACAACAGCAGTTGTTCGGGCCTGCAGATGGTGTCTGACCCTTTACTTAAAGAGAAAGTGAGTAGTGTTTGTTTTGTGTGACTTTTACAACTCTATATAGCAAAATAATTCTCTCACTAAAAAACATTCAAGATAGATTTACTTATTAATGGATAAACCTGAGTCATCCAGTCACTGACTTGTTATTTTTCAGAGCTTTGGGATAGCAGAGGGGGGGCGAGTGCAGGACTTGAAAGAGATGGCCAAGGCAGCCGGTCAGTCGTTTCCAGGCTTCACCCCTCCAAACGGAGAGACTCAGGAGCAGGTGAGGTGGGGTTTGTTGTAGAAGGGTCCAGTGTCTGTTTTTCTGTTATTTTATTGTTCATATGGGTATTATTTATTCATCTTTCTGTCCTTCTCCTTGTCTTTTGCCATGTATATTTCTTTGTCTCTCTCTCCCCCTTCCTGTCCTCTTTTCGCCTCTTGGAAGCTCATAGTTAGTTGTGACATTGTGACAAAATTACTTGACATAAGAAATGCCATCCTCTGCACACAGTACTGAACATACTGTGCTAGATGTAGAACATTTATTGACTTCCTTATTTACATTAATACTACACTTAAAGCTGAATTAGAAATACAGTGTCTTTGCATCAACATGTTGCCCTTTGAAGTTACCATATTTTATTGTCTTCCAACACTGAATCAAATAGAAAACAGTGAACAAATCTATACAGAGTGATTAAATGAATTACAAATGATAATGAATAATAATAATGAAATACAAAGACTCTAATTTGACAAGCATCTGTTTCTGGACATGCATATTGCTGGTTGTCAAATGTAATTTTAATCTCTCATTCCTAAACATTGGCACATAAAACCAAAACTTCTGCATCGCCAAACTCCAGATATGCATCCGACCTTAATGCCCTGATACAATATACACATAAAACCACTAGGTGGCAGAAAACCCTCATCTCCCGAGTCAGTCCCTTTCTCTGCATGGATGTATCCTGCAATGTCGGGGGCCTCTCTGCATCCACATGATTGTATTTCTTTTGTATCTACCTGAGCACTTCAGCAGGATCAAAGTACGTGCCCTTCCACTGTCAAACAACTGCAGAGTGTTCGTCACTGACCCCGATTAAAAAGTCACTTAGCTTTGTGTTATTTGAGTTAGAGGCTGTGTGGGAGGACAGTGTGTGTGTGGGGAGGGAGGGTGGGGGCGTCGGAAGGAAGGATGTTCTATTTCAAAGGGACCTCGTCAGGCTTCATCTATTAGATCTTGGCTTGGACGTTAACTCTGGTCCAACCCGGTACGTGACCAGCACATCACGATGATGATGCAGATATACAAATATAGATTTTGACGTAAGCAGCGAGCGCCCCAATCAGTGTCGGCTAGAGGCCTCCCTCCCAGCTTTCCTCAGCGAGTTACAGGTTGTCGTGTCAGGATGAAACTGGAGTTGGCACCTGTGGAAGAACAGTTGCGACCACATTGTTTTGAATAAAACAACCTTTAACTCTGATCCCTTACAGCTGCATGTAGTCACACTTCCATGACTGTTAGTGGAGGAAGAAAGAAGCGATGACGCAGTTTATAACAGGTTTTTGCTCTGTTCAGGTGAAGGAACGGGCCAAAGAGTTTTTGGAGAAAATGCTCCAGAAAATTGGGGCCGAACACTGGCAGGACAGAGGGGAGGATGAAACCTCCCTACCTGCTCCCCAGCAAACATCTCCTCTGGAGGGAAAGGCTGACGATGGCGTCAGGGGCTTCCCCGTCCATGCTTTGGTTGTCACCCACGGGGCCTACATATGCGTGGCAGTCCGCTACTTTGTGGAGGAGTTAGATTGCTCCTTGGCTCCGAGTTCTGATAAAGCACATATGTTCTCTTTAAGTCCCAACACGGGTCTGTGTCGGTTTGTACTGACCGTTAGAAAAGAGGACGGCAGGTTCAAATTGTCAGAGATCCGCTGTGTGTTCGCCCACAGAGGGGACCATGTTAACTAGGAGCTGGATGAGGTTTTTAAGGAATGTATAGAAGATAACTAAGAGAAAGGAAATGTGAGAAAGCTCCAGAGACTGAACACTGAACGTTTATTATTTAAATTATTTTACTTATAGGTTCTGTATTTATTGTCACCTCAGTATTGTAAATGCTGTTTATTTAAATTATGGAATAGATGAATGAACAAAGTTTAACCTAGTTATTTAGTATAAGCATGTTCTGACAATGAAATGATCAAAGAACCTAATTCAAGTATTTAGGTTCTGTTTATTATAGTTTAATTTACCAGTGGCAGTGTCTGAAAAACCATTATAAAATACTTAAATGAATTCAGTTTACACCAAAATATGGATTAAACAGTACATATAATGTATCCTCATTCATTTATACTGTGGCCTTTAACAAAATATGTGTAATATTAAGTATTTAAGTGCTGTTTCGTGAGTTGAGCACCTTCGTTTAAAGTCAGATTGACAGTTTGTGTTGCAGGGGAATGTCATCATCACTTTGTTACCGTCTGGCTGTTCATTACTGTAAATGTGGGCAGCTTTGTGCTCTAATGAGTCTGTGTTTCTATTTTTACTCTCCGGAACTTCATAGATTTTACGTATGAACACAGAGCAGAACTGCGACAGTGTTGACTTTTTGGGAAATCAGTGACTTTTTCATTGTTGTGAATTAACACTTTGGTCAACAAGGACAAAGGCATCGCATGCCACATGTTGTACTGTAGCATGTATGCACTGTTTCTCTGCTTTTCACTCCACTCTGAGTGTAAAACAAAAGTGTTTATAGTAGATAAACATTACTACTTCAATAACATCAAGAGAATAACTGAATTGTATTAAAAAATATATATTTAAATATTATAACGCAGGAATGCTGTCAGACTTGTGCAGTTTAGTATATTTCCTGAATAAGAAAATATAGCTGCTACCTGTTTCTGTATCACAGTGCTATGTGTAGAAACTTGCCAAAAACAATAAAAGATATATTTTTCTGTTAAACTTGTTAAATAAAACCCACATTCAGTCCATGCAGGGTCTCATCTGTTCACCTTCGAGTGATTTATAGCTTGGATTTTACATATCAAGGCCTAGAACATTTTTATTACAGTTTGCATGCTTCTTCATTTACATGGTTGTTTGATATGCATTACCTCATTTGGGAATTGTTTGTCCAGGTCTAATATTTGCCAGTTATGTAACCAATTGGCTGTGTGCGTAATAACCATGTGATTTTTGTGGCCTTTTCGATGGGTTGGTAGGCAAAAGATGTTGTTTTTAGTACCTGGAACATTAAATCTCTCCTTGTTTTATACAAGGTTAATGTTCTTTGTCCATTATCCCTGTTCAAATAAAGAAATTCAGTCCCGTTCCGTAGGTTTTGTGCAGTTGTTATGATGTTAATGGTCAGAAGCACTTTAAATGTAAATATTAAGTCATTGGTTCCCAACCGTTTTTCCTTAAGGGACTCCTTTTCTATCCTTTAGTGAACTGACGACCCCTGCTTAGGTGACATACTTTATATTTCATATTATATTCAAAACTGTACAATGAACCCAAACAGTGAACTCTGTATCTGCAAGAAGTTTGTTTAGGAAACTTTTTGTACAATTCTGTCCGTATTATATATTTAAAAATCATTCACACTTAAGAGTTTTTTTTTTTTTTTTTTAACAAATACTAGATACTTTGCCATTGTTCTATTAAACAGTTTACATTTACTTTTCTTCACAGAAGTGAATCAAATGCTGAGATATAAGTTTTATTAGCATGTTTTAAAATCAAGAAGACCTTGTGACCCCCCCCAATGAACTTAGGTGACCCCTAGTGGGGGTCCTGACCTCTAGGTTGGGAACCACTGTATTAAGTGACTCAGATACTTCATGATACATTGTAATCACCATAACCTGACCCCAGTGACAATGTAAACATACGAGGAGAAGAAAGGACACGAGAGACACATTCATTCCCAGTTCTTACTTTATTTCAGAATGCAACAACTTTCTAGAAATGTTTCATTGATGATCTGTAGATAAATAAATGATCATGGAAGCAATGGCTAAAGAGAGAGTCCTGCATGGAAGCTGTTGTTGGATTAATAGGTGCAGTTCCTATTCATCTGTGTCACACTGTCCTCTCATGAAGAACATTTCTGTGAATTCTTACTTTGCACCCTTTATGGACTCCAGCTACAATACAGACAATCAACAAAATAGTTACCATTTATTCATCCACATCAGAAATAATGTGAAATATATAAATAATAAAACAGTTAGGTTAGGAAGGAAGTCATTTAACACATTTCAATAAATACCTTTTCATTGCTGTGACTATTGGTGTCCAGCACCTGATATAATTTGATCCTGTTTATGTACAGATGATAGTTTTCAGTAACAAAAGATTTCTGTCGATTTCTGTTTACTTTTTAAACTCCTGTTATGACGCATTACTGTATTAACAAATCTATGCATAAATATTCATAATTACTAACAGATTACACATTTTTTTTTTACATATGCAACACAAACATTGCCACATCTGGTTCAAGGTTTAAAATTTAACTGACAAAAGAGGTTAAAGGACAGCAGGGCAGAGCATGGCGAATGTTGCCAAACTTATCCCTCGTCGGCTGTTCAAACAGAAGATCTGTACAAGCCGCTGTGATGTAACACGGTTTATGAGTACATTAGCGAGTGTAATAGTTCCATAAAAACAAACTCAGAAAAAAGGATTTTATAAAATGTTATCTCTTTTCTCAGAAGTTGGCCTCAAAAAACAAAACAAAAGAAAACCTACCCTCCTGTGTCAGTTTGACTCTACCAGCCCTTTGTGGCTCATTCTGTGGCTCTCACTGACGCTGCAGTCCACCAATGCAGGACAAGGTGTCTATAAGTACAGTATCTACTCCCACTATGCAGTCAAACATAAAGTGAGTTTGAAAAACAAACTTAAAGACTTGCAGCCCCTCTTGACTCTCCACTTATTAAACCCAAGTTCAGTATCTTTAGTCTTGTTGTGCCCGGTCTGCAATATTAGTCTTGAGAGGACTGACGGGCCCGTTGGGCTGTAAGACCCGCAGGGGGTCGTCACATGAGGTGATGGTCTCTTTGGATACAGCGCCGGCTTGGTCTTGTTCTGGCTGCCCGTGATCCGCACCCTTGTGATCCTTGGCAGAATGTGAGGGATGTGACTCTGACCTTAATGGATCAGAGGGGTTCACCGCCTCACTCCTCCTCTGTCTCTTTACCAAGGGGCCCAGGAACCTTTCCAACAGGGTTGAGGAGGGTTCAGGTGGCTCCTGGTGAGCGTCTCGCAGCTCGGCTCCCTTCAGTTTGAGCAGCTGGCCCCCGCTCATAGAGTAGAACACGTCGTGGTGGTCCGCAAGATCTAACCAAATGCGCTGGAAGAGACAGTCTTCTCTGTCCCTCTGCTTCTGTTCGGTAGGAAAAAGCAGACAAATACAAAATGTTTAATCTAACTGTTTTCCCTACAATCATTTCCTGACTTCACTCAAATGAAATGCATCTAATAAGTACTCACAGAGTTGTACTGCTCTCCCTTTACGTCCACACAGAGGAACCGTCTTCTTCTCAAATCAAATATTGACACAAAGTTGCTTGTATCTGTTCTTACTGGTAAAATAACTGTAAGAAAAACAGATTTAAACATGTAGCCATCATCAGTTATTAATGAAAGAAAAATCATACTGTAACATAAATTCATGTACTGTGTATTTAGAAAAAGTCTTAGAAACCTGTTGAACGCTGCTGGCTGCCAAAAATCTTGTTTGTTTGTATAGATGACATGCAAAATAAGCTTTTGACACCTAAAATGATGTATTATGTAAGTTTATCTAGAACTATGCCATGCAGAATGTTCTTCCAAGCTTTCCTCATTATGTACAAATACATTTTGTGTTGTTTTGTATGTTTTTAAACATTTTAGGACATAAATGTAATACATGCTGTTGCCTTCTAAACAATATGATTAACCTAGCTGGACAAAGAAATAGTTGCATTTAGTGTTTAAAAAGGCTTTTATTTTCTGAAATGAATGAACTAATTTGTCATAAAAAATAAATGTTTTCATGGATATAGACCGACTTACCCAGAAAGTGTCTGTGAATGCCCTTTCTCACTGATCCACTCTGCTCCAAGTGGAAACGTCCCGTATCGGCGGATGCATCTGCGTCTGCATCTGCGTCTGCATCTGCGTCTGCTCCCGTGTTGAAGCTGCTCTGCTGATGGTGCTCTGGGCCCCGGAGCCTCATTGTACAATCCACCGGTACGGGCACATAGACGGCAATCAGGATGAGTGAGAAGAAAGCCGGTTGCATGATCAATGAGGGTGCCGTGCTCTCTTTACCCTAACAGCGCGAACGTTCAGGTTGGTGTGAGGGCAGCTACTGGAGGAGGAGAAAGTCCAACAGGTCTATTTAAACACAGGGTCGATAAACTGGCTAACTCATTTACCAAAATGACTCAAAGCTTACCTGCTTTTTCCGTAGTTGGGGGTTGCCAAGGTGGAATTCCTGCAGCTCTCACTGGTAAAACATTTTCTCTGTATAAGATAGCGTAGTTTTATCACTCTAAATGACTTTAGATTGAAGCATGATTTACTCTATGCTTTGTTCAAGCCTAAAACAAATCAAACACAAAGATTAATGTACTGAAACTCCAGTAGCTGAGGAAGAAGAGAGACATTAGAGACAGCAGATGATGTGAACGGATGATGGAGACCTTACTCATCATAAAGAAAAACCCTTTATTTGGACAGTCTGCCTACAGGTAGTTTTTATTTGTAACAGTTCAACAGCTTATTAACTGAGATGAGATTCAACAACTATTTTATCATATTACACCTCTGTTTTGGTTAGTTTTAGGTGCAAAGAACATCTTGGTTATGGGTATGTTAATGAATTGTTAGATTTACTCTAAAGGTAATCTAACATTAAAACCTGTAGTATCAACCCTGATAATAACCACAGGACAAAATCACTCATTTATACCTTTCAAGCGTAGGTATGCATTACTGATGCTAAATGAGTAATTCTGTTGTGTCACAGTATGTTGACTGAAGAGAATGATTCGTACCTTGCTTATTAACTATTATTAACTAACTGTACACACTTCCCCCGCTGCCCACTTCCGTTCACTGGAGTGTGTGCAGTTCTCTTGCTAGAAAGCTTTGCTGCCTCATTTTTGGTGGTTGTCATATTTTTACCTCATTATAGAAAATGTGGGGGGAAAAGTCCCCTGAGCTCTTGACCTCACAATTCCTTCAGTACGTTTTTTTTATAAACTTTGGAAAGCATTTATATTGTCGAGACTTTATTTTTTCTAAGTTCCAGAAAAGTTGGGATGTAGGTTTACGCCAAACAGAAGCAGTATGTAGGATGCATGTTTTTATTATATAATGTTTGTTATGTAACGTTAACTGGAAGTTGTGTAGGCAACTTGTGATTAGATGGCTTATATTCACAGTCATAATTGGACATTATGTGCATATTAATGAGCAGAAACATAACTATATATTTTGGGCTCCCTGGAAGAATATTACACTACAGAGAAAGGTTCAAGGCAGTTCTTGAGTAGGCAGTGGCAATATTTTGCTTGTAAATGAGGATAATAAAGAGTAATAGCAATATAGGTAGCACTTTATTTTACAGGTCTGTTATTTCCTAATCAATTCTTGAAACTTTCCTGGAAAGAACTAGTATGATAATAGGTGAAATAAAGACAAATGTTTGCTGTGTTGAGTTGGAAAAGCAGTTTATTTTCAGTGGAATGTCTTTCAATTCATTCATTTATTGTTGGAAACTATTCTTCACGTGTGTTTGTTTGCTTGCTTGTAGATAAGTTTGACATTGTCCATTCAGCTGACCTGTTGTGCACTGACTGAAAGACTATACGCGATGCAAATTTAGCATTTTCATTAAGATGAATTCATCGGAAGTGTAACAATTGTCTTTACTTTACCCACCTTGTAGAGCCAAATTATAAAGTGATCTCCATGGAAATGACAAGCAATGCATTAAGGACAGAACCCGTGCAGAATATAGTGTTACTGCAATTTGTACTCATTTCTGTTTCAGTTTCAGTTCATTTTCATTTACATTTACTTTCACATCTGTCCAAATGTTGCCCTCCTAAATGTTGTCACGCTTCACCAGAAGAGGGCGCCACATACTGACTCTTGCTAACTCATTGACCACAACTTTGGCTTGAGGTTTGTTTTCACTGGCGCTCACAGTTTCTTCCCCAGTTCCTACAGTAATCTGTGTCATTCAGGGTCAAGAGGGCAAACATGCAGGTTTAAAGCATTTGATCACAACAGCTTTTACAAAACGTCTTTTATTATCATCTCAGGAATACAGTTGACTGCTGTGCACAGCACATACGTACAAAAATAAAAGGAAAACCATTTGTAATATAGTATTTTACTTACTCATCATCATATTTTTCAGAAACAAATGATTGGAGAAGTCTGTTGTTTCAAACTAATTTACAATCATTTCAATAATCGGAACTAAGGCAGAAGGTGAGGTATATGTTAAAAAAGAGGAGGGGGACTCAGAGGAAGCACTCTCCCCTCAGTGCAGGAATAGAAAACTGAGAGAGAAACACAAAGGCTGCCGGCACACAGGGACACACACGCACTCACACGCACACACACAAGTCTGATCCCAGATCCTCCCACAGACCTCAGTTCCCTGTGAACCAACACATTTTAAAACCATCTGAACAGGTATGACAAGCCCAATGGCAAAGATCCAGACACTGGATCCTTAATCAAATGGGGTTAACGCGTACCTTGTCCAGTCAGGACTCCATATGCATAATAAAGGAAAATTCAGAAGTAAAAGTTAATGTTGAAAGGTGATATGCTTCTTACCATTAACTACCTTCTCTCGGTTACTATCATGCAAAAGTTGTAGAACTTATCTTTCCTTTACTCTTTCAATCCTCTAGCTTTGAAAGTCTGACACCAAGTTGCATTAGGTGTAAACAATATCAACTCATCAGGTGTCCCTTACTCTTCCCATTCAACTGGACAGTGACATAATAAATCAGAAATGACGTACAGTAATTAACACAACGTTGACATCAAAAACAAGTACTTTAGAGATCTTGCATGTGAGCTTGTTTCGATGAAAACCTAGCAAAGGAAAACGACATCTACCCCTGCTCAGTAAATTGCACTCCATAAAACAAAAATGTGCACCTCTTTATATATTTTGACAAATTAGCCAAAATACCTCTCCAACCAACTCCCTCGCTGCCACAAAATCAGTCCCGACAAAGCTACGAGTGATCGTTTTCTAATCACAGTCACGTGATAAAGGCTGAATGAGTAGTACGATGCTCAAGGCAACCCCCCCCCACCCCCCACAACACAATTATCAATGGTGTCAGTATTCAAAAACATTAAACATGACATCCTGCGAGTGTCAAGTTGCTCTCTTGGATCACAGTATTCAGTCCATCAGACAACCTGTTTAACTCAAGTGTCCCTTTTCCTGGAAGCATTAGATTCTCTTTAAGTGGCCTTTTGCTACATAGCCACCACCTCAAACAGCAGTCAGTGCTTTTTTCTCACAGACATCCCCTCACTATCCTCTGTGTTGCCTTTTTTCCCCTTTCCTCTCGTCTTTATCCTCCCCCGCGAGGAGAGTACAGTACATCAGCTTGCACAGTCAGACAATGCCCTGTTATTCCTGACTCAAGGTAAATTGATCTGATACCATCTTCTACTGTCGCTTTGGCAGAAACAGAACATGACAGGAGCGTGCTCAGTTGGACACATGCACACACACACACACACACACACACACACACACACACACACACGCTGAGACACATTCATTCTGAACAGACACTGCACATTAGTCTCTGCTACTACACATAAGCTGGAGCTTAAAGGGCACGCAAACCTTCGCTCGCAGATATTTCGTCAGTGTGTTACAGTAATGTTAAAACAGGCATGAGGTAAAATATGATAACACATACATATATATATATATATATATATATATATATATATATAAATATAAGAGCCTTGCTACTTTCTTTTAATCCCCAAACTGGCCTGACTTGTGGTTTGCTACTTACAGAGTATTGCAGGTCAAGTATAATAACTTAATTTAAATCAAAGATTCAAAAATTGAGCTCAATTGCACCTAATTTAAACGTTGAATAGTACAAGAATTTCATCGCACATCACACGACAGCCACTTGTGTTCTCCGATGAAGAAATAGCCAAACAGGTGCAGAGCTCAGTAAAACAACAAGGTAGAAGCCATTGAGATGGAGCAGAAAAACACGCCTACATCAGTAAACGCAAAGTACAGAAAGCCCACATCTTCGACCTTGGTACAAAAATGGCTCAGATGAGTGGGACAGGAATCCCAGGGCCCTGCACTGACCGTCCAGTCTGACACCAACCGACGAGGGGCCCACTAGTCTGGTGCTCAGGTATTTTACCCCACATTATCCACATCCTCGCCAAGTTAAACAAACAACCAGTGCCTCATGCAGAGTCCCATATAAGTCCTCTGTACATCATTGCTATCTTCAACTTTGCTTGTCCTTTGTCCCCTCTCCCCCTCCGACCCCTTGTCTCCACAATGGAAAAACTATCTGTGAGAGGAGCTCGAGAAGTTGTTGAATTCAAGTACGGTATGCTGCATGCACAAAGCCTGGATGAACATTGTTAATATTACAACCCCTTTGGTTCACTGCTTTTTGCAACATTGCTCATAGTTCTCTTTTCACAAGAAGCCACACTGTGACTGAGCGAGCTGAATAATGCATACATAGCTTCAAAATCCGGGATGATTAAACCCAATCCACACCATCTAAATGTCAGACCGACTGAGTTACCTGAAGTATTCCAGTTCCAGTTCTCTCTAAACCCAACCGGAGTATTTCATATTAATACAGCAGACCATCAGATTTACAGTCTGCTCAGTGACATCCACTGTAACTTCACCCATCTCTGCATAAACACGTTACTTTAAGTGCCAAACATCATCAAAACCAGTGTGAAAGTCAAACAGCTCCCATCGCCACTTTTGCTACAAACTCAAAATTAAAAAAAAACAAAACAAAACAAAATCAAATAAATTAGTTTGAGTCATCAACAACAAAGTACCAAGACCACAGAGAAGATGCAACAGATTGCACCAACTCAGTCTGAAGTGGAGTGAAATATACAGCAGACAGAAATGGAGGACATTTTGCTTCATAGTGTCAGGTCTATGATATTCTGTTACACAGACGCCACCCTTGGCCTCCAACAATGAGGAAAAAAAAAAAAAAACCCTTTCAAATGAAGCAGCTCTCAAACGGAGCAGTTCCACATACATCCTTAAAATAAATGCATGTCCACACATATAGCACACACTCATACACTCAGTCTGGCCTCATGATCCGGCTACAAAATTTGTCAAAGTAAAACCTGGGATTGTCAAAGCTCCCTTGGACATGATGGGGGGGGGGGGTGGGGGGGGTGGGGGGGGGGGGTGCTGACTCTAAATCTAGCTTTCCATATTAACAAGAGGCTCCACTGGGTCCTGTGCAGCATAGAGTCTCAATTACTTAATTGATCTAATTATGGAAAGAAAATAAAGTGGAGGAACCTCTGGCCCTCTAGGAATCGGGCTAAAGCCCCCCGGTGGTGTCTGAGGGAGTGATGACTTGCGTTTCGTTCCTATTTCTGACTTGAGCACCACGTTTCTCGCATGCTTAGGGGTAAGGGGGCCGCAAGTAGGAATTCAAGGCACCGCCACCTCATGACGAAGCAAGAAAAACCACCGCCATGTTTGCAAGTGCTCTAGTTGCCCCTGACAGCGACAGGGACAATCGAACATGGAGGATGGGAAACGTCCGAGTCCTCGATGGATGACAACAAAGACATTTGAAGTAAACAGGCATTCTTCTCTGTAGAAATTTCATGCACACATCTTCTCTTTTTCTTCTTCCTCTTCTTCTTCCCAGGATATGGTGCTTTGAGGTAATAACGTATCCATTTCATTTCCAAAAAGGATGAACTGTCATCCACTGACGGGACAAGGACTCAACCAATTCCAGCAAGCACCCATAGAAACTGAGGGGATAAATGACACCTCTCATCCCCGTCATATCACAAAATGATGAAAATCATAAAAGCAGCAAAGAATGGCATTTCCATCATTTCTAATACAAAGTAAGCTACCGAAATATACATATAAAGTTTGAATAAATACTATCAGATATAGTGGTATTTCTTTCTTTTACAGTCCATTTTGTCTTTTGTGTTTGTACGTACGTATACGGTATTTTATGTTACCTGGGAAATAATCCACATGTGCAAATAAGTTTGTTATTGCCAGTTTTTGCTCATCATATTCGGGGTAGGAAGTGCGTTACAGTCATGGCAGTGGTGGCCTTGTTGCCCCTCTTCACGCGGCCATGCTTGCTGAGTGCTATGTAGGAGCCCCTGTAGACCAGAGACTCGTAGGCGTTGTAGTTGTTCGCGAGCAAGCTCTCCTTGAACTTGCACTCGTCATGGAAGACTGTCTGGAGAGGACAAAGAGACAGACACAGCGTGCATTTTAATGAAGCACTCAAGAAAACAGGCAGTCTGTGGTTTGAAGGTACGATGGCAGAACATTAACAAGCTCTTTAAAAAGATTCGGAGCGACGCAGAAAAATATAAAAAGCTAAATTTAGACAGAAATGGCAATGAGGAATTAACATTCTGACAGAGTTATCTTTGTGCCGTCTCCCAGCAGCACCAAGCGCTCTGAAAGGTGCAGTCAGTTTGCTCCTTTAGGTATTCATTTAATTTAACTGCACAAGAAGAAAGTTCTATCGAGTGATTCACAGGAAAACCCTGGACTTAAAGGAATAGTTTGACATTTTGGGAAATGTTCACTTTCTTGCAGAGAGTTAGATAGATAGAAACGATTGATACCGCTCTCATGTCTGTATGTTAAACAAGAAGCTACAGCAAGGAGACAGTTAGCTTAGCATAAAGACTGGAAACAGGGACAAACAGCTACCGTGGCTGTTTTCAAAGCTAACAAAAATCTGCCTACTAACACCTCTAAAACTAACTAATTAACACCTTATCACTTTTTCTTTGTTTAATCTGCAAATAAACCCACATTTGATGTGCTTTTTTACTTTTTTGATTTTGTTCAGATTAAACGAGATAGAACGTGTTAATTATTGAGCATTAGAGGTGTTTCGTGTTTCTTTTTTTTTTAATTAGCTACGCTAATTGTTTCCTGGCTACAGCTTCCAGATATGAGAGTCAGAGCAAGAAAGCAATTAAACCTATTTCCCAACATGTCAAACGTTTCCTTTAAAATGAAAAACTCACATCTTACACCTACAACACATCACAGAAATCATCACATAATCTCCCTCCATATAAAACCATCTCTAAATACAGTACCTGCCACTGTGAACAACAATATGAGTGAGCTGACAGCAGCGGAGCAAATACTCAGAGGCCATGTGGCCTAACTCAATCTCTTATCAGATCATCAGCCTGCTCACAAACTAACGCTTCACCACTCACGAGCAGATAACCGACTCACATTCTGTCTGTCAAATATGTTGGCCACAGCGAGCCGACCAGCAGCCACGTGTCAGCAGGGCTCTGCTAAACACAAAGTCCCCCCCCCCCAAACCACCTGGAACATCTATATATTAATAGCTGCTATTGCTCTAGAAGCAAATGAACGACATCTTCTTAAAGGTTATCGCCAGTAATTCTACAAACACACCTTATCTGTGAGACGAGGATAAAAAAAAGGTTAATTAAACTGACATTAATAAGAAACTACGGCTGAAAGAGTTTCTTTGTTATCAGGATAAAAACGTAAGGATCAAGATTTAAAAAATAAATGAAATATTGAAAAGTTTGAATTCAATAAAAAGCAACAATAGATATATTTAAACAAACTGTATTTAGGGTGAGGAGACTACCTTGATATATTTGTATATATTTTTCATTCATTGTCATTTTAACTTCACTTAAATAGCTCAGAAATCATCTTTCTATTAAGAACTGCATCTCAGATACTATGAGATACTACATTTTAGTTTTAAAAATAGCTCTAAAAATACTGTCTGAGGTCAAACCTGAGAAAATGTTTAAAAAAACAGGTTTTAGCTATAGGGTTACAACCCACCTCCCATCCCACCCATCTTCCCATCTTTCAAATCCAGGTGTTATCATAAGACTTTGAGGAATCCCTTCCAGGAGACAGATGTTCTGTCAGACATCAACTATTTTTAGAAAGGTTTCTTCTTTGTATAATAAACTAGAAATTAAAATGTTAGCTTCAGATTTTTTGGAGGTTAGCAGAGGGAGAGGCTGCTGCTGCTGCTGCTGGTGCTGGTGGGGAGGTGGGTGAGGTGGGGGAGTTGGGCCTTTGCCTCCCAGGATGTGCCTGAAGTGCACTACCCTCCAAAATAAACGCTTTGCCGTTAAAATCGATTTCCAGCTCTGCTGACAGGTTTCTGTGCATCAGGGGGTTTTCCCTCCACACACACACACACACACACACACACACACACACACACACACACACACACACACATTACAGGCGTGTGGACTCGACCCTGCATCTGTTAACCTCATCATTATTTACCCATAGGCCACCAGGCCTAGCACCGCCTGCTTTAAATAGAGCTTTACTAAATTCCTGATGAAATTAAAAATATATGCATTTCGCAACACATATTGAGCAGCAGCCCCCCCCCCCCCCCCCCAGCTGGCAGACAGGGCAGGAGTCCCACCCCCAAAATATGACTATGGTCGAGCTGCAAAGTGCGTGCCCTGTTTCCAGGATCCCATGAACTAACATTGCTGGACAATAAATGAAATACTGTGCATACCTACCGTTCCGTATAACCTCCCACGGCTGTTCATTGCGACAAACATCTCACTCTTCACCCCATACAGGCTCACCACCCCTCTCTCCACCGTAGAGATTTCTATCAGACCTGACACAAGACAAAGACAGATTACATTAGAGTTAGAGACAGAGAAGCGATGATGCTGCTGAGTGTGTGTGTGTGTGTGTGTGTGTGTGTGTTATCACGGTGACTGTAGCATTGTGTGTGCTCTCTCTCTCTCTCTCTCTCTCTCTCTCTCTCTCGCGTCTATGGGTGTAACCTTGCAGATTGCTGCGCAGCATGCCGAGCCTTTGTTCTGCATCTTTCACCCCATCTTCCATTTGCATCCAGGCGCGCAAGGGGGGGGGTCAATTAAGCGCATTCTGGTTATTGCAATAATTGCAGTAATTGCATTGACGTGCACGGCTATTGGTCTCTGGACCGCCCTCACAGGGGGGCTGCGTAAAAATAAGTTGTGTCTAAAAGCGTCCATACATTCATGTCATGGTTGAGCTTGGGGAGGAGGGGGGAGGAAGGGGGTGTTCAGTACTGATGGATACTTATTTTTTCTTAATAGATTTGTCTTTGCCGTGGAAGAAATTCAAGCCTCCCTCAGCGTCGGATGACATATGATCATGCAAATGAATAGAGGGGGGTAGACTAGCCTGCTCATCACAGATCCATGCTTATTGACTCTGCCTCTCTTTTATGTCTATTGCATTACATCGGTGGAGGGTTTAACTCACTGTACTGGTTTTCATTATGTGCACCGTTTATCCTGCCGTCGGGGAGGATCTGAAGGTGAAACCCGATGCCCACGTTGCAGTAGAGCCTCCGCACTCTTTTGATGCCCAGCAGATAGTCGCTCTCCCAGTTCAGCTCCGGTTTCTCCCCGGAGATCCCCAGTACAGAGCGGGAGAACAGGGTCTCCCATCGTTTCTCCAGTAAAGTTGCATTCGTCCTGCTGCTCGGTAAAGGGTACGCTGACACGATCCCCAGCAGAAAGCCCAGGAGAACCACCGCGGTCAGCGTCCAGTGCGGCGTGCCGGCCTCGCAGGACATACTGACGAGGAGCCTTTGCGCAACGGCCATCCGGTTTACCTTCGGGCCACGTGGTCAAAATTAATGACCCTAAAAATACCGCTCTTCTTGTTTTGCTTCCTTCGGCATGCTGGCTGAGGGTTATTTTGGGAGCGCGGATCAGGGCTTTGGGCATGAAACGCAAGCCCCGGTGCAGAGGAGGAGAGGAGACGGGAGAGTGCGCGGCAGCAGAGCTGGAGGTGATGGTGATGGTGATGTTGGTGGTGGTGATTACCATGTTTTGCAGCTCCTCTCCTCCGCGCCTCTCTCTCTCTCTCTCTCTCTCTCTCTCTCTTTCTCTCTCTCTCTCTCTCTCTTCTCCCTCTCTGTCTCCCTCTCGGTAAGAGTTCGGGAATAAATCCCTGTACCAACTCACCAAAAACCCTGTTTCAACCTCGCCAGGGCTGGCGCATCCCTAGATGACATCATGCTGACTTCACCGCTGGGACAATACAAGGGTAGAGAGGGTGCTGACAGCAGGAAAAATACCAACTCTGTTTAGAGTTGAAGGGGGGGAATAGCCTAGTGTCACTGCCGGACTGGAGGGGGGGGAGAGAGAGAGCTTATTGGTGGCGTTCAGCGGCCGTGGGACGCGATGGGGCACTCCGGCTGCTCCCAAATTGGGTCGGTGGTCATATGTCTGTCAGGCCGCTTCCTTATTTAGAAGGAAGGTGTAAAAACAGGCCCACTTGTCACCGGAGAGCAATGACAGGGCTCTCGTGGTCCCACTTCTCCCTGCTATGCCGTTCAAGAGCCCCCCCCTCCCAAAAGCACAATCTGTGTTTTTATTGGCCTAAAACGAGAACCATCAGCTGGACCAGAACCTGCAGGGTGCCCGACCAGGGTTCAAGACCTCGGCCAGCATCCGCCCTGCTGACGTGTCCTTGAGCAAGACACCGACTCCCCCCCCCCACACCTCCACCCTCACCCACCCTCCCCCTCAGCTCCACAGCGCGGTTTGGTAACGGGGACCCGGAGAGGCGTTTTAATAAAGTATCAAGTTTTTATAAGTACACCCATAACCCGTGCATTTTCCCATGATGCATTCGTGAGAACTAAACTGGAAAAGGCCTGTCACGGAACGGCACGCATTGTGAGCATGCCATTCCCCTGCAACATGAAAGCCTATCGTCTTTTCCATGTAATAGATAATGCCACCAGCAAGCATGCCCATGCGTCAGTGAGGCCGGTGCATTTGCGCACCAGCAGTCTCTCTCCCGCACACAATCAGTTCCCCGACATCTCCAAAGGATGGCGCTATTTCCAAGTTCATTGTAACCGCTCCCTGCACAGCCTTCAGTCTCTGTGTCTGTAAGACCACACTGCTTACAAGATGATGTCTGATCAAACAGTTAAACATAAACCAAGTGAACTGACACATATTATGTGATCAAAAAAACACTGTATGCAAGGATGACCAATAATTGATCAGTTTTCAAATATTGAAAGTCACTCAAGGACAACATCTCATTAACAATGCAGTTCTTTTATTTTGTATAAAATCTATTTGGTAACTGCATATTTATACATAATCTGATGGATGTATAAAGGAAAATGAAATACAAGTTTTTGTTATGGCTGAACACATTATGACAATGAAACTGAAGAAACTGATGAAAAAAACAACCTGATCAATCACTTATGAACACAATGACGTCTGGCCTTAACATAGTCGGACCATTGGCACTTTTTTTTTGTCTGAAATTAAACATTTGGTTGAGCACAATGTGGGCTGAAAGCAACTCCACCCGTCCAGTTAAAAGATATCTTCAGTGTTTATCTGATAACTTTAACCATAAAACAGATCGCTGATAAGAAGAAAACGAGTGGTTATATAAGAACCAGATAGCAGTATTGACAAAATGATGAGGTCCAGAAAAAAACAACAACACAAAACATCTCAGTTGTGTGACAGGAAAAATGTTTTCAGCTGATACAGGCTACATGGATGTGACCACAGGGGGCAAATTGTGATACCCTTTATGCGATACATACTGACAGCAGACATCAGCTATAGGCTCTGTGACGTTATAGCAAGCTACAGGATAAAGTGGGTAATGTTAAAATAAATTATAGCTTTGATGATGTTTCTAAACCACATCTATACAAATAATTTATCTTTTTCACAGAAACAGCCTTCACCCTCGCACCTGTTAAAAGATGCCAAAGAGGCCAATAGTTTAATTAATACGTGCTATTTTTGTAATAAAAGCATAAATAAATACATATGTACAAAGAAAATGTTTTAAAAATGTACAGGCACTTGTAAAAACACTTTTTTTTTCTCAGCTACTTCTAGGCAATATTTTTTTCTGTGCATTTCAGGGTGAAAAAGATAATTCATTTACTCGAGTGTTGTCAACATGACAAACAAATCCTCTGCTGTTTTTCCTCACATGCTGAGCACGCCTCAGGCAATAAGATCCTTCAGGACTACTTGTATCTGCTGAACCTAATTCTTTTCCCCTCGTGTAGGATCCGACAACCTTGATACGAAACGCTTAAAATGAACTCACTTAGCGGTTGTGAAGCGAGCGTTGTGTTTACGCCAACCTGAAGGCCGCAGTGCATCGTAACAGACAGCATCACATGGGCCAAAGTCGATGCAGTTTCTCTGTGAAAAAAACCGCACACACTCACATATTACTCATGCTTTCTCGCCGTCTGTCCTCCATGTTATGTATACACACATACACACAATCACACCTCAGCTCAGCTCGTCCTTCAGCTTCCATACACAGTGCCTACTCTCGCATCATTTTCAGTAACCAAAAGATTTCTATTTACTGCATTACGTTTTCTTTCTTTCTTTTTTTTTTTTTTTTTTTTTGGTCTTTCAGGAATGGGTGCTATGAAGTGGGCTTCCAACAGAGATGACCCTACATGTTTACATTACATAACAAGCCCATATGGACGTCCTAGATTGTCATTTGAAGATACAGTAAAACATGAAGGTTTAGGCAGCAGGGAAAGTGTTTTCATCGGTGGCATGAGGACAGGATGGGATGCTAAAACGAGTTACTAACCTGAGACGACTGTCCTGATAGTTGGGCAGGATGAGCAGTCCACTAGACCAGACTGCTGTTGATTGATAGATAGATAGATTGATAGAGCTAATATTTCCAGTTCCAGTAAACGGCTTCATTCTTCAGTCACCACAGTCGATAACCTCACCTCAACAGGTTGCATAACAAAATTCCCATAGGGATATACAGTAAATTTGTATACAAAATATTTACAGTGAAACTGTTCATTGATTAATAGATGACACTAGCTGGGCCAACATCAGAGTACAGCTAAAGTTTTTAAAGGGGTACTCCACCGATCTTACACATAAAGTCAGTTTACTAGCAACAGAGAGTCTGTGGAAACTGTTGTGTAATTTCCTCAGCGGCTCTCGAGGAGCTTTATAGGAGCCCTGATGATGTCATAGTGACGTCATCAGGTTTCTACGGACTTAGGCCAGAGATAGACTCGCTTTTAACAACGTGTTTGCGTGCGAATGGCGGCTACCTCGTGTTTCCTCCGTCTGGACCGTTTTGTGACCAAATCCCTCTCCAACCTTAGACTTGAGATTATGGAGTAATACAGAGTTTGTATTAAGGGCAAGTGTAAGATCCAGTCAAGGGACTAACGAAACAAAGATAGTTTGACCATTCTTTTCTTAAATCTGCGTCTTGCAAGTCCACTAACTTTACAGAGTAGCAATACTAAATCAGTGGAGCACCCCGGCAAGTGTGTTTTTCATCCCGGATGGCCAAGTCCAATGGTCCCTATTTGATTTTTCTGAATGGGTAGAAAGAATGCATTAATCTATTCATGCTGCCGCTGTGAAGAAGGACAGGCCGGTCTCTGTAAGGTGAGTTTATGAGACTGTGTTTGACGTGTTGTTTTCGAGTTAAAAACAGACCAAAATTTGTGGATAGCTCAGGATAAGACCATAAAAAAACCCATAAGGTTAGTATGTGAGGTTGATGAGTTCTACAGTAAATCTATTTGTGGTACCTGAGGAAAAAGACGATGGACAGAAAAAGATGTAACAAAAAAAAAAAAGTTTTGAGAGATACTTTGAGAGATAGGTACAGAGAGTACCATACCTGACCTGAGGACACAGTGGGTGGTGACTCCTCAGGTGGCAGGTAACAACTCCTGCTCTAACATAGACAACACTTTCCCCAACGCAGAGCAAACACAAAGTACTAGAGCAAGGCATTCTGGAAACAGTAGTGCATTGTTGAGTTCCACCCGAGGAACCTGAATGACTGATTGATTATTGGCGATTCCATCAGTCCCACATCTGTTGCATGCAAGTCTCAGCTTTTGAGGTCCTTTTGGTCAAAGATGATTTGACTGGCCAGGTAGATGGCGACAGCACCGAAGATGGCAGAGGAGGCGATGTAGGCAGTGACGGACTGTGCGAACTGAACGATCATGCCCATGAAGAGGGTGGGGAAAACCTGAGAGAGGAGGAAGGTGCTGTCTAAGATGGCAAAGTCCAAACCCACACCACGTTTCTCAAACCCCGACTCGGCCTCCTCCTGTTCGGCGCCACCAGAGCTGTGAGATGAGCCGTTCTGGCCGTGTGGACCGGGGTAGTACTCGTAACTGTCCTGGCCGAAGAAGGCGTTCCCAAAGGGAGTTCCCGTTTTGTGGTTCAGTCCGCCCTCCTCTTCCACTGGAGTCGAATAAACCGAGTCCCGCTTGGTTGTAATACCATTTTTATGCACGCTTTTGGTTTTCTTTTTTGGCATATAGACCTGAAATGAAACAAAAAAAAGAGTCAACCTGTCAATCATACAGATTTTGTCAACACGCTATCCTCATATGTAAAGCAATTAATGTTTATTTACCTCTTTCTCCTTGTGATAGTGGCAGGTGAGTGTGTAGGGCAGAGTCTGCAGTGTGGCGTACGCATAGCCGGTGAGTGCAGCCATGACGGTAACAAGGACTACACTTTTGGACAGGCAGATGACCAAAGCAGAGACTGTGAAGCTCACCATGCTGCTCAGGTAGACCCACCGTGAGCCAAAATGGCGAACCAAACGACTCATGACCAGGGAGAAGAAGGTTGAGGTAGCACACTGCAGGAACAGGCCCAGACTGCCCATACGGATACCTGAAAGAAAAATGTAACTTTTATTACAACCAGCCAAGCCCATAAAGCTCATAGCTTCCCTCAAACATCCCCTGTAGGAGACCCAGCTGTGATGATGGCTGCCGTGTTACAGTATTTGTATTATTTTGTTGTCCGTACAGAATCTGGCATCTGTATTGACTCTAATCATTTCCTTTTATGGCCACATCTAGGAAAAGATGCACAGCATGCTTGACCACTGCCAAACCCTGTGTTAACTTTTAACTGTTTGGCATTAGCAGCTCTTTGGGTGAGCTAGAAAAAAACCTGGTGTTTGTTCAAGCCCGTAAACACACAGGCACAGATCCGGTTGGTGGAGACATTCACAGGGCTCTGCGGCACGGACACGCTGTTTGGGGTGACTGTCTCGGGCCATCACAGACAGCTTTAACCTTAGATAAATCCTTGAAAAGCAAGGGAGGGCGACACACACACACACACACACACACACACACACACACAGGCCAGCCCCTGTTTACTGAGGCAATGTGCCTCCTGGCCCGAGTCTGGCCGAGTCAGCCAGCCAGTATTTGGATGAGGTCTCCTAACCGAGGACCAACTGATCCGAGGAAGAGTTTTAAGTTCAAACAGAGCAAGAGTTGAAGAATCTCTTGATTTATTCGTGTCATGTTGCTGCTGCATACCATCAAAACATTTTTGGTACCTGATAAAAACAATCTCAATCCACAAAAGCAAAAGGAGCCAGATTCAGTACGATGTGACATTACAGTATGTGATAACAGCCAGTAACACAAGAGCTAAAGACAAACGTCCTTATAATGTATTTATAAAGAAATAATCTAAATGTGTGTTTAGCTCTCCAATACAGTACAATGATAAGAGCATTTGCACTCTCCCTTTGAACTCTGCCTTTAAACCAGATGCAAAAATTAAATTTCCATTTCTGACTGAATCACAGAGTGCAACAATTTTCAGTAATTTTCAATAAATTATACTCAACCGTGGGATTTTGTTGCTGTGGGGAAAAAATGTTTTTAATTTATTTTTTAAATCATGCCCACCACCTATTTATTTCAGCCTTTAATTAAAAGGTTTTCATTTTATTTTAGAACCAATTGATGGAAGCTGAACTGCCTACATGTCTAGACTGTAATTTATTTCCGTCTGCATTCAGCCGGGTCTCTCAGCTAGCTGTCCTTGAACAGTGTGGGTCAGAAGTTCAGCAGCAGAGCAGAGAATCACTTATGTGAAAGGAGTATGTGGATCATATTACTCCTGGAAAGCAAAGCTGCCGAGCCCACTTTACAAACACTACAGAAGCTAATGAGGACCGAAATTCAAGCCCTCGGAGATATGGGACCGAGCCAGAACGCTACTGAATCTGTGCACAGGAAGACTGCAGCAGTATGGGAAAATGGCTGTTTCTGTAGTAGAAGCTTTACAAATAACTACTTTGCACTGCAACCCTTCCAAAAAGAGAGATGATCAGAAAAACAATAGCCGTTACTGTTAAGAAATTAAGTTTTAAAAAAAGTCCTACATACAAAGCAGACAGCGCTGATGCAGAGGAACATCTGCAGGCTGAATAATGTGGTTTAATAACATCCGCTGTGTTTCAGATTAAACGAACGCGGCTCAGACAGACCTCAGAACTGTGCGCTCTGGAACGTCTACCTGACTTGAATGAACACGTTCTTTGTGTGCCGATTACTTGACATTAATTCTTTGTGAGTGTGACATTCCTCGTGGTCCAGCAAGCACAGGGAGGAGAGACAGGGGGAAAAGTAAAAAGGCAAACAAAGAAGGGGGGGAGATAGAAGTGGAGAAAAAGGGAGGAGAAAAGCTTGTTGATGGATGGATGGATGGATGAAAATGGCAAACGAAAGAGGGAGAACGGATAGGGAAAGGAAAGGTTGGGAATTTGAAGGATGAGAAAAGAGGTGGACAGCAGGAGGAAAGGATTGATCAAATGAGAAGGGAAGCTGAAAGGTATAGTTAGGAAGAGAGAAAGAGAGAATGGAAAAGAGGAGAGAATTATGGTGTAAGATAGGAAGTCTGCCTCACATCTGTTTACTTCAGCTTCACTCTTCCCCTTATACTGTTCATTCTGGTCAAATATATATTAAACAGTTCCACTTTATTTGGTTTAAAGAGTATTTGTAACAGTTTCAACAGCTTATTAGTTGACAGTCAACAACTCAACTGTTTTGCAAATGAAAGCTTTGGTTAGGTTGAGGCACAAAAACACACATCTTGTTTAGGGTCTGTTCATGAATTGTTACACATACTCTTTAGATAATCTGTTACACATCTACAGTACACAGCAAAAGTTACAAATACTAAACTATCTGTAAGCAAACTATCCAAATAAAATATATCAAAGTAAGTAGTCTTTCCTACTATGCTTTGCCTTCTTACACCACTTACACAACAGATATGTTCAGGTTTATCTGCCCGCACACCGTCTCTCCTTAAAGGTTATAAATAGGTAGAATCCTACAGCTAAGCATTTGCATAGCTATAGAATATAGCCATACAACTGTCTAGTAGGATTAGAGACAACTCTGTGATTTACAGAGCAGGAACAGGAACGGATAAAGACTGCATGTATTTGTTTACAATTCCCAAAGTGCAGGGGTGGAAAGTAATACCTGACATTCCTTGGACTGGCTTGACACAGACTTAAGCATACGTACCCAAAGGATTTGTTACTTGTTCAGTGACATAACTACACAAAATCATCATCATCTTATGTAAAGTCTTGCGTCAGAGCCTATGTTAACGGGCTGGTCTTTGCTGTATGTGTCTTATACTTTGACAGGAGCCAAAATGAGGGCAGCGGGAAGGCGGGAAGGCATGTAGGCATGCAGGAGCACAGGCTGGGTCTCTGTCCTCCACCTGTGCCTGAGGAATGTGAGTGCATCCTGCCCAGCTGTGACAGGGAAGACAGCACCGCCGGGATGGACCCCCTAAGCAAGTTTATGTAGACAGGCAGTGGAGGCAAAGCCGTGATGAGAAATGGTAGGTTGTGTATAGTGAAATGGAGGTTTGCTTCATAAGGAACCATTTCATAAAATCTAATGTGTTAACCACAGTGAGCTACTTACATATTTAGAAAGATATAATTTGACTAAAAAAAACATAAACATAAATCTTCTGACCTTCATCGTATCTTTGCCTGGACACACTTCCTGGTAATGCACTGGGCACGCCCTCGTACAGGCCTTCCCCCACAAAGTCTGTGTAGAAAAGCATGAAAGACATGACAGCCATCCAGCTGCAGAGCTGAGCCACACACAGCTGCCTCATCACCCGGGGGACATGGCAGTAGCTCCTGTAGATGGCCGGGGTCATGGACCAGCATGTTCTCAGCAGGCACAGCAGGGGTCCAGACTTCAGCAGCCTCAGTTTGCACTTCAGCAGGTAGCAGCATGAGCGCGGCACGCCGCACCGGCCGGCCTCCTTCGCACCAGCCCCCGTCTCCAGTAACGATCCAGACCCTGCCAAGCCACTGTTGGCACACAAGGGCTCCTCAGACACCTTCATGGTGATTAGCAGGCTGGAGATAAAGATGAGGATGAGAAGGGAGAAGAGGCACTCGGCCTGGCCTCCCAGATAAACGGAGAGCAGGCCGCGACTCCAGTCCAGTGCGGGTAGCAAATAGCCCACACAGCCTCCCAAGCTGACCATGAAGGAGAACATGGCAAAGGCTTGGCCGCAGTCCTCCTCGTCCCGATACAGGTCCGACAGAAGAGCCTCCAGCGGTGTGAAGCACACCTGTCCACAAAAGTCAAGGAGCCCCACGCCAAGGATAAGGAAGCCCACCTGTAGCAAAGCAATGACATTAAAGGAAGTTACACTTTAAACTCGAACAGAGGGGAATACTACGAAGACAGTCTCACAAAGCCAGGCTTTCTATACGTTAGATGGCTCAACAAACCCTAAAACCCTGACCAGAGATAATGGGTATCACAACGGTGGTTATCAACTTTCTCTACTCGGCTTCACTCTGTGCACACTCCCATGAAAGGGGCCGTTTGGTGCGTCATTTGAGTCTTCTTCCGCACCAAATTGACTAATCGCACGCCGCCTACTTCAGTCAGAACAGGTCAACAGGTCGTTATAGTGGATTGCTGTGAAGAACATAAAAAAAACAACACAGCAAAAACACAACGTCGCTGCAAATCAGGCAAGGAAGGAATGTGAGCAGAAAATGTATAATCGATTCAATGCCTCCAGTTTATTTCTACAGGGACTGCACATTGTACAGGTCTTAAACTTGATACATCCCTGCAGGACACGTGAATATCACTTTAATGTTTGGCCAAATCAAAGTGAAATGACTTTTCTTGATAGAGTTTTATCTGTGATGAAGACCAATAGACCAATCAATTTTCTAATTTGCAGTGGAAAGCAGTGGAAAAAGGTCTTCACCAAGTATAAAAACACAATAAGATATGTTGATGCTTTGCTTTCATCATTCTTTCAGTGTATGGATGATATTCTGTGTAAAATTTGTCACTACAACCGTAGGGAATCCTGGGAAGGAATCTGATATGCAAGTAAACATCACACTAACTAATAATATAGGAAACTATTAACGTGCGCAACCTGCGATTTTATAAAAGGCTTCTTTTATAGCCAGTGTGGGCAAATGGCCAGGGAACACTACAAACCAGGGCTCGCTCTCCCCCTCCCTAAAGGTTTGCTGACAAATTGCACATGCAGAGAGGCAGCCGTAAGCCTCCTCCACAGGCAACTCACCTGCTGTTGTGAAAATGGAAATGCAGATGAAAAAAAAAAAAAACCCAAAACACGAGTTGTGTTCTTGGTGCGACTTTAGAAAACACAAGAGAGCAGACACGTACAGACTGTATGCGTCTGTCCGAGTATGACACAGCAAGAGAAAAGCAAAAAGAGGCAGAGCAGGGCAATCTGGAGAGTGTGTGTGTGTGTGTGTGTGTGTGTGTGTGTGTGTGTGTGTGTGTGTGCGTGCAGAGCTGTGCAGTGGTGCGCAGTAAGGGACAGACATGTGGGAGTGTGTGCGGATATCCAAATCCCGAAATTACAAGCTGAATGAACAAATTTCCGACTAGTCAAATGTTCGGGTCCGCCCGTACTACATACATATTCAGTAGTTCAGTCAGAGCAAAAGAAAAATAGGAAATAGCAAATAGGTTTGCATATATAACATAATTTTTTTTTATTGCAGCACACACCACAGGTATGAATCCCTACATGGTAAGTTTATTTCTTTTCTTGTGTGCTTTGTAGGTACAGTGCACCACAATTAGAATCACAAAGAATAAATAGACATCCCACCTGGAGGGTGCGCCCACCCCAGGCAAGGCGTGCAGCCAGTACATCAGCGTGGGGAATGATGACAAGGGCAAGCAGGACTCCCAAAGACAGCAGCCAGATGAAAGGCCGTCGTCTGCCGTAGCTGCTGTTGCAGTGGTCACTGGCTGAGCCAATCAGGGGGATGAACAGGAGGCCAAGCACTGGGCCAATACCTGTGGACAGAACCAGGGACACAGTCAGAGACAACGCGTAGAATAGGTAGTGGAGAAACAGCAAAATACACAGAGGAAGATGTGGACTAAGTAGAAAGAAATTAATTTATATTTTAATAGAGAAACAAGGTATTTTCCTTCTAAAAGAGTGTATCAATTTGGTATGAAATCTGTAACTCACACAACCCACACCAAAAACACAAGTGCCTGCAAGAATCTGTTCAGCTTCAGTGGCTTACAACAGCAACTGACTGGTTGACTGTGTTCAGCCTCCCTTCTACCGGCCCTGTCAAGTCCTCCTTGCTGCTGCCCTATGAGGGGGGTGAACTCCATGTTCCACTGCCACTGCCATCCTCACCGACTGCTGGTGATGGTTCCTACAGATGGCCTGCTGCCTGAAGGTAACCCACCCGCAGCTCATCCTCCACACGTGGTTGGGTCTGGCTAATTAGAACACACCATGTTCCGATACAATATCTAAAAATGACCCAATCTTAACATTTAACATTTGAAAAAGGTTCCCCCCTGTGGAGTTTTAATTAAGGGCAAGCACAATTTTGTTTACAATCAAGGTTTCTCATCAGAAGAGGATCGGATGCTCATAAATACCTAACTTAACCACGATCCATTTGTAGGCTACACTTAAACTGGAACACAAAGAACGGGAGACAATATTTGTGTTTCTGGGGTGTGAAGAGCCAAAGGCCGGGCAGGTAAGCAGGAAATTAGACGAGCACAGACAAAGAGACAGTTGGGCAATTTGAGAAAGACAGACAGGCCGAACCGCAGCCAAGCAATCAGCACCTCCACCACATTTCTTGTTGCTGCAGCTGTGGGGGCCCATCACAACAATCCTCACCATGTACAGCTGTAAGACTTACTGTGTCGCCCCCGACACACACACACATACACACACAGACACACACACACAGACACACACCACAGAATACTTTCCAGCCTCTGAATACAATGCAAGCTGCTTTCCAGCTCTGTTTACAGACACACACACAAATCAGTGTGGTATCTAACTGAACCCACACACCACATATGAGCCGACCTACCTAATATAAAACCTGTCACATTCCACAATGTGCTTTGTTACTTAAATACACACCAAAATTTGCCTAAAATATCAAGAGTAATGGACACCTCAGTGCCCTCTCCACTCGCAGAGAGGAAACTAGAGAAAGACAGTAACAACTGGAGGATGAAGCAGCCAACAAATGTCTGTTAGATAAAGTAGAGAGCGGCCATCTGAGAACCTGACACTACTGCTTGGGGAAATTAGCTTCAACCCTCCCAAGACACAATATCTATCTTCATTCAGATAACACTCAGGCACTCCATTACAATGCAGGGAGATGAGAATTAGGTTGAGTGCCATTTCCAGATTGGCTTACAGTGCAGGCTGTTTGGGAGGAACTGTACAATGAAATCATTTTTCTTCATATCACCAGCAGCTGTTCCAGAAAGGGAAGAGTAGAAGTGTATATTGTTTAATATTTATAGTTGAATAGTCACTTCTGTCATCCACATGGAGGCTTTTTGGTTTGGTGTAATTGTATCTATCATCTGTATAGTCACAAGACAATGTCTCAAAGAGACTTTAGTGAAGACCATGTGAATGCAATTTGGGATAAGTGAAGGATAAGGAAACTATTCACTCGCTTACAAGTAAACTCAGTTACAGTGTGCAAATATATACCATATGGGTGATGCTAATAGTGCTAATAGCCACTAATTATTGGCCTTTTTTGAAAAAAACAACAACACAAACCTCTCTGTCTTAATGTTTGCATTAGGAAGGGTTTCAGATAGTTTCAGGAAATTCTTACAGACTATTGTAGATTGAAAGGTCCGAGGGAACTAAAGCCACAAGTACACAACCACAAGCAAAACTGAATTACACGTTAGGCAGACATAATGGTGTGGTCATCAGCTGCGCAGTGTTTGTGGTGTGTATATCCGCTCTTGCACCAGACACAAAAGGCAAAATGAGCTTGTTTTCCTTGAGTATTCCCAGAATTCCTGGATGTGTTTGTTAAAAAAAATATACCAGTTCAATGTTTCGTATGTGAAAAGTAAAAGATAATATGCATTAAACACCCTAGATTACAATACAGTGCAAGATACCCAACAACCACAAACCTCAATGCGTCTCTTACTCAATCTCGACAAAACATCATAATTGTTATTTCTTTGGTACGGCAGCACTACACTACAGCAATTAAAATCTGAAGTGGGAAAGGGAAAAATGTTTGTCACATCTCTGTTCAAACCGTTTCTCTGAGGACAAAAACACAAGACGAGCTTTTTGGCTTCAACCACATGCTGCCTGCATGATACATTTCTTTTAAGCTTTTGTTTTCAAGTTGAAGCAGTGTTTACTCTAGCTGGATTGTCTACATCTTAGAAAAATACTTTCAGCCAGCAAAAAACACAATGTTTTGTATTTTCCAGCTGATTGTTCCTTATGCTTTTCAGTGGCATTAATGTGCAACCCTCTCCTAAGTGTAACAGCAGAGGAACAGCAGTGGTTGTTGTTTAACAGCAGGGTTACGATGCCTGTAAAAGGGCTGCTGTAGTGGAAACTGCTTTTGAGTTTCAGTATTTGGCTGTCGTGACTGACTGACGGATCCTATAGTGGTATAAAGACACATAAAATACCTGAGTAAACTACAGGAAAGCCGGGATACGGGATAAAGCTGACCAGTTGTCAGAAATTGTGCTCTGTGCAGCTGTAATGTGTAGGACAATACAAATATCCATATGTATATCTATTTGTAAAGGATCACAAATAAGCTTGCAAATATCTTATAATAAAATATTATATGGAGCAATAGTCTATTCGCATATGTATCTGCCCTATAAAACAAACTTAAAACATCCCTACACAATTCCTTTATTTACTCAGATCTAGAAAAATGATTTTATGACCTTAACTAATTAAAAATAAAGTAAGATACATTTTGTGAATTCACAGTGTGCCATTAGTACTGCATGTGTCTGTCTGTCTGGAAATCGTGCCTCTTCCTCCGGCAGGTTGCCCTCCTGCTGCTTTTAAATTAGCGCCTGATTACCACCTCCACAACACAACAGGTGATTCGGCCACTGATTTGTGTAACGGCCTCAATTATGTCTTTATGACCTGAATAGGAAGAAGAGAGGAGCCCTGTGGCACAGTCATGTCTCTGTGCAACACACAAATTGGCTACCACTGGACAAGGTCACATCTTTATGTGTCAAACAAATTTACACAGCATACAATCCTCACAGGGTACAGCCTTATTCGGATTTACAATACTTCTCATGACGTCAATACCAACTAATGAAATAGTTTTCCATTTGTATTACGGCTTAAATGTAACCACAGCAAACAAAGCATTCAGATTGATTAAATGAAATCTAATTTACTTCCAGCCCTATGACAATATGTAAAGTATTGCAAAGTGAATAAATGGCACTCCAGGGCTATAAAAAGCTATAATTGGAAACACTTGAACAAGAAACAATCATGTGGTCAGTAAACAAGCCACAGACGAGATAGTTGCATCCATGAAGCAGTCTATCCTTGAGAGCGTGTACAAGTGCCTTTGTATCTTCTCAGAAAGGGACAGGGAGGGAAACTATGACTATGGGGGAGAAAGAATGAGGCAGAAGCAAAGCATGCACACTTGTATAGACAAACATACACTATGAGGAAGCAACGAGCCCTGGGTAACCAGATCCCCCTTCTTTCAGTCTTTATCAAGCCCTTACCCAGCACCATGGTCATGTAGCGCTCCTCCACTCCAGCCTCCAGCAGCAGTGGGGGCACGTATGTGATCCCAGCTGCCACACAGATCTCCAGGCCACAGGTCAGGGAGTTCAGCAGGACGAGACGCCACTGAGACCTCCATCCAGGCATATTTACAGGGGCTGGCTCGCCTTTCCTCGCCTCTGGGATGGTCACTACTGGGGGTTAGGGGAGGGGGGAGGGACCCGGGCAGGGGCAAGGGGGGAGCGTGGGGAGGCAGATGGTGCCCCAGTGGGACGAGAGGGCTGTCTGGGAGGGACAGCGGCAAAGACACGTGGATGTCTCAGATGACCTGAAGGATTCATCCTCTTCTCAGCATTCTGGATCTGAAGAGCAGAGGAAGAGGAGAGGAGAACATTGAGACACAGAGAGAAAGTTTAAGCAACTTTTGAACAGAAAAATGAAAGAAACTGAAAGAAAATGTGAGTTGTGAGCACACACCAGGTCATTCCCAGGTTACTACACCTGAATGTCAGTGGCCTAAGGTCAGCGCAACAGCTTTCTCACTACACAATCCACACAACAACACAGATTCCAAAATATTTTCCAGAAACATGGAAATGGCAGCGACAGTCACAAGGATATACGATATTGATGTATTCTCAGAGCTCCTCAGCAACAGCTTCAAGACAGCAGGAACAACAACAGGCGGACAGAGGAGATGAGTCAGCTGGAGCGACGTGGCAAACACACCAAACCATTTGCCAAGAGAATCTTTCTCCCCCTGCTGCTTTGCTTGCCTTTTTTTTTTAAGTCTCAAAACGCTAGAGGTTTGAAAGCTCAGTCTTTAAAAAAAAAAAGTTTTACTTTCTCAACTCCCTTTTCCAGCTCCATAATAACTCTAGTATTAGTGGGAGGACCTAAACTCCAGCCTTTTCCTTGGCTGACAATGACATTATCTGTATTATTAAGCCCTGATTGCAGTTTAAGTCAAGTACGCGAGACCTCCCTTCCAGAAATGTTCAGCAGATTATTACCATTGTTCCGCTGAGAGACAGTCTTCAGCACCTAAAAAGACGTGTCACTAGAAAGAGACTAAAAAGCAGCAGCTAGATTAAGTCACATGTGAGAGGGATGATATTTCTAGCGTCCCTCTAGCTTTAGGGACAGAAAAGCTATGTGCTGCCAGATACAGGAAAAGTGATAATACCGTTGTCAAGGTGATGTGTTGAAGTCAGAGGTTAAGCTTTTTGTTCAAGACGAACAAAACGCCAAGGTGAATCACAACAACTCTCTCATTGTCAGTTAACCACTCCTTGAAGGATCATTTTCCCAGTCACATAGCTGACATTGTCCATTACGTGTTCATCCTATCCCTGTCCGCGCTACAAAACAGTTCATTTCTGAAGTGATCGCCGTCTTGACATGACAGATACTCGTCCGAAAAGAACGAGCTGCGACTTTAATTCTAAACCCAAAAAACAACCACTTTAGAATATAAAGTGAAAGAGATTTGCTGTGGACAAACAGATTGACAAAGCAACATGTCTTCAGTTAATACATCAGCGTCTGCTTCCCAGTGAGCAAAAGACAAAGTAAAACCAAGAAAACCATTGTCGTCACCCACCGCCGAGGAGATGTGCGTTCTTTTTAAAAGCAGAGGGAAAGAGCAAGAACAGTCAGAACAGCCGCACAACACTGAAACAACAAGGTGCTATATTTGCATTCGGTGTGACATTTCTCTGCCAATGCTGCCCATCTGTTCTCTCCCAGCAAACAAAATGGATGTCATCATCTCCAACAAGACTTGGTTAATCACAGAAATGTGCTCGGCTCAGTAAGTGAGCTAATCAGATTCACACAGCACTCCAAGCAAATGTACCTTGTTGTTGATGATGTACCTCTTCCGTTAGGCAACATGTACTGAACAGGCTGACACACAGGGGCTAAACAGATGACGTAGGGCGAGTGCTTGGGGGCAGAAGTAGTTTCTGTTGTCCTCAAACGTCCTATTTTTTGACACCGCTTGCACAATCACTGTCATCAGGCATCCCAGACTCACATCAGCCATCTTAAAAGCTCTTGTGCCTTTTTCACATCGTTGTAATCAAAAAAAAATGTTAACTGAATGTCAGAGTTCCTACAGCATTCATACATTCCCAGCTCAGTCATCATGAGTCCTTTCATATACTGGCTCTTTGAGAATCTGAAGGACAAAGCGACAGTGTTAGCAGGGCTGGACCTAGCAGGGGCCTGGGTCACAGAGAGAGAGGACCATTTCACACCCGTCAGATCTCATTCCCACCCAGCCTGGGCACGCTGAAAGACACCCATCAGGGGACCAGCATTTGCCCCTGCGGCCTGTCTGGCCACTACAACCCCCTACCAACATATTCTGTGTGTGTGTGTGTGTGTGTGTGTACGTACAATCTCCCCCCTTCCTCTCCCTCTTCTCTGCATTTCTTCCTTATCCTTCCTCAACCCTCGAGGTCAGCCTTGTCTCTGACCTGCATTCTAAGAGGAAAACCCTTTTGACATATCTGCCCACGACTGGTTATGCCTTCGTGGTTCTGAATCTCAGTGTGAATGCTTTCTATCGCGGCCCCAGCTGACTCTCTGTCAGACGTTCTCACTGAAAACAGAAGGCCCCCCCCCAGTGGCAAGAATAGAGAAATCTGCAGCCACGGCTATTCTGGACGCCTGCCCAAATGCGAGTCAGATTCCAGGGTTTTTGAAAATTGAATGGTTGCTTAAGTCTTGACCCGAGTTAGAACGGTGGCGAGGGAGGAGGTTGGAAAGACTGATGGATGGCGGCGGGGATAGAGGGAGACAGTGAAAGCAGCGCAGGAAAAGCATTTATCAGTCCATTTATCCACCTCAAAGTCAATGCTAAAAATAAAATCCATTTGTTTGTTTTAAATACGATACTCTTTAGCCAATGCGTTGTTTGTGGCATTGGCACGAACAGAACAAAGCACTTAAAGTTTGCCTTTTTAAGGACGGCACAGAGAAACACACACACACACACACACACACACACACACACACACACACAGGCAACCCACACAGTCATTCCACCACTCACTTAATGACACCTCTGACTCTGCAATGTATTCTAGTCATGCCCTTCATCGTCTTCCCATAGCCTTGGAGACACAAACGCACGCACACACTGTTAGACAAACGGCTCTACTTGTCACCTTACGTGTTTAAACACTACAATCTGAGCCAGGCTGGTGAGAGGAGGGATGGCGGTGGTGGTGGTAGTGGTGGTGGGCTGCTTTTGTCAGCTCTCCCACTGCTCCATTACCAAGCCCTATTCAGCCTTCAGCTGTAGGCTCCCCCCCTCCCAAAAAAAAAAAAAAAAGAAATCGGTCCTAATGACTGTGAGAGGTATTCTTACAATACAAAACAGGCTTTGTATACATTGTGCCAGGGAGAGTAATGTGATATAGTGAGGTATCAAGTCCATTTCCAAGTCTTTTTTTATGGACGCAGTGATCATATAGATGGAAGGATATAGAAATTGTATGTGTGTATGTGTGTGTGTGGCATTGGGTGGGGGGTCTCCCAGCAGACAGCAGGGTTTTGGAAGGGAAGAAGGGGAAGGAATTGCTCCGAGATGACATCAGAGCCACCGGCAGAGTGGAGGCTTGTGGCTGCAGAAACCCTCAGCAGGAGGGTCTGGGGTTGTGTGTTTGGCTCGAGCTGAATGGCTGCAGCACGTTGGCCTTCCTCCCTTTGAGTTCCTGCACATTAATGGACCAGACCGTCTGCATGGAGGGGGGACGGCAGGACCGGCTTTTATGCTGACAGCTTCCCCTGGCTTACTTCCTGCAAACCTTTTCTCTCTGTGGCTCGCTGAATAACACAAACAGGTTCAGATGGAGCAACCTTCTTATGAACAGTGCACTGCTTACAATGATGGCCCAGCACAGTCAACGTGTCCTCAGAGATTCTACCTTGATTCATTTATACTAGGACTCTACCAACTCAGGATTTTGGCAAAGAATCGACAATTCGTTCCTTTTTTTCTGTCAGTTCATCGCCAAACTAAACTCCTATCAGCAGTCCAGCAGCGACACGAGTCTCACGTTTTAGCCTGCCTCGCGTTGTAATGCCTTTCTTCGTCATCTGTGAAGTGAAAACATCAGATTTCTACAGTCAAAGAGAGTAAAAGTGTGCGTACTGCTCATAGTTTGGTTATTAACAGCCAATGCCAGCAACAGACTCACCGACCATGTGCCGCCTCTGACCGAACCCTGTTATTTCCATCCACACTTACACTTTCAGAAAATGTGCCCTTTTTCTGATTTATAGACATTTCACCATTCTTCCCACCTTCCTGTCAGTCCCTCTATGACTCCTTTCTCCTAAGTTAGAGATACCAGGTGTTCTACATCTATCCGTGGCCTGTCATCCAGATGAGGCCACCACCAGACGTCTGGCACCCTTTTTCCCAAACACGCCGTTTCCTTCTGTTACTGACAACTGGATAATAACATGGAACTTGTTTAACCTACTTCAATAAAAAAGTTTAGTGTTTGATTTGTGTTCTGCTTCTGCTCACTTGAAAGGCAGCCCTGACCGTGCTGACCCTACCCCCTCCAGCCTGTAATCTTAAGCCCACATCCGTCACCGCGACCCCTGACCCTGCCTTTCACCGCAAATCATGTGACCAACCTAAAGTTTCAAAGCTGCCTGCTTCTAATACTCACCTCCTCTTGCTGTTCTGCCTAGTTGAAATGAAAACTCAACCTGTTACCAGTTATTTTAAAGTAGTGCTTCTGAGAGAAGATACGACGGAAGGACATACGCCTTATAACGGAGCAGGAAAGACGACCTTGTCTTATTTCTGGAGGGTCTAATGACAGTCTTTGCAGTGCCAAAATGTGAAGTGCTCTTTCCATCTCCGCACCTAATTAGGGCGATGACTCAGAATAAGTTTCAAGGCCAAAAAGACGACAAGAAGCTAACAGTTCATGGCTCCTGAGAGCGCAAACGACCAGTGCTCAGTAAAGGGGAACGTTATTGTAGTCTGATTATCAAACTAATACGGTAACTCATTCAGTCATTCACAACACAGGAATGCCACAATGCTGGTTTTAAACCAATAGACTCCAGACGCACCCTTGAAAAAGTGAGTGGAGAACAACATCAGTGCCTATCTGAGCAGGACTACAGAGGATCCACAGAGACAGACTAACACACACAAAAACACCCAAACATAGCCCACTTATCAGGTGAACATGAGAGGAATGCTAGAGGCCTGCTGTATGTTAGGGTGTGTGTGGGTGTGGATCAGAGAATGAAGCCAGCTTACGGCTCAGGGAGGTGACCGTTATCATACCGGGCCCATGCAAATAACACAACAATGGAGAGCAGC